CTAGAGTCAAACAAAATACGGGCCCAAGAACCAAACACTGAAAATATACCTCGAAGAACTGACGGTCCAGGAGATGGATCAGTCGGTGTAAGTGCAAAGACACGTCCCTGTTGTGCCTGTGCTTGAGAACCACCAATCAAAACACTAGACTATTGTGCCGACACAGTAGGAGTATCCTTCCTAGCTAGTCGAGAACCTTGAGAAGACATGGCAGGTTATGGTGGTGGCGGTGGTTTAAAACCTAACTGAACTGTAGCCGACTGTGACGGTCTCTGCCGTAACCCTCTGCCACTACTGGTGCCTACTCCCTGACTCGGACAATCTCGAATCAAGTGACCCTACTGGCCACACCCATAACAAGCCCTTGGAATTGGAGAAACTGCAGACGATCTCATAGGGCAACTGGACTTGTAATGCCCTGGCTACTGACACTGAAAACATACGACTCCACTCTTATCAGACCCTGCTGGCATAGGAGTGGTAGGAGTAGATCGTGCAGACTGTTGCCCCTGAAACTGAAACGGACCACCTTTATTCCTCTTCCAAGAAGATCCAACTGAAGATGGCCCTACACCTCTCTTTTGCTTCAATTGCTCTCTTCTTGTATCCTTCTTTTTATTGTCAGCTCCAACATTAAAGCCCTTTCCACTGCTTCAGAATAAACCTTAATGAACTGTGCCATGATCAACGGCCTCATCCGATCATTAAGATCGGAAACAAACTTCCGAGTCTTGTTAGCTTCATCTCTCACCATTTCTGGAGCAAAACGGGAGAGTGAGGTGAACTTATTCTCATATTCCGCCACTGACATGTTCCCTTGAATAAGATTATGAAACTGGTCTTGTAACTCCCATCTTTTGGAAAGTGGAAAGTACTTCTCATAAAACAGCTCCTTGAACTTATCCCAACTCATCTCCTCTACCTTGTACCGGCTCGTAACCGACTTCCACCATAGTTTAGCATCCTTAACCAACTTATAAGTTGCTGGGATGATCTTCAGGTGATCCTCTGTCACATCCATTGAGGTCAACTGAGTTTCAACTTGATCCATGTAGTCGTCTGCTACCATTGGATCCACATTACCCTCAAACATAACTGGCATCAACTGAGAAAATCCCTTAATGATCTTGAGATACTTCTGAACTGGCATCTCCTCAACTTGAACTGTAGGTTGTGGTACCGATTGTGACTGAGCAGCAATCGTTGCCCTCACAGCACTTTGCAACAAACGATTCAACTCCAGTGCCACAGAACCTTCACCCACTGCTACGGGTGTTTCAACATTATCCCTCCTCGGAGGGACAACTCTTGGGGGAATCAATTCCCTAAGAAGTGTGTCCTCATCATTTAGCTCCTCCGGATTAGAGCTGGAGCTCTCGCCAACATCACCCCTAGTCGACCTAAGGCCAACTTCCCTAGTTTCCTCACACCGTGACATCGTGCTATAAAACGAGATAATGATTCAATGATATGACACTAAGGTCCACAGTGATTGACTCAACACAAAATGATGTCGTAACGACACTAAGCATGCAAAACTATACAAGAAACATTTTAACGTAACATTTAAACATGTAAGCACATAAGCAATTAAGCATGCTTGTTCACAAAATAATACACGTAGCAAGTAGTCACGTAAACAATGCAAACAACTACCCATACAACTCTATGTAAGCCTCTACCCGTCGTCCTATAGGTTTTCGAACCAAGGCTCTGATACCATTCTGTAACGACCCAGCTCCTCATGGATCCGGATCATTAAATGGGTCCTTACCCAACCCAAAATCATCCGAGGGTAAAACGGTCTTTTCACATTAAATTTAAATATCAAAGTCTGAAAAGGGCAAAATGATAATTTACCACAATTCGATATATTGAGACTCAAGGGTACAACGGTCATTAACTTGTATCACATAGTAAATAAAATAAGGTTCGGGGCAATATAGCCCTTTCGGGGTTAAAAATATAATTATGGCATTTTAGTGGGTCATAAAATAATTACGTGTAATTTCACTTGGTGCCAAAGTGTAATTTTGGGAAACTAAACACATATTACTTTCGTGACATAAACCGGTCGACGTCTCCACACCATACGTCGACGAGTTTGGGGTATGAACAGTGGGAAAACCCACTGCCGAGATACCGGTAGACGTATGGGAAGCCATACGTCGACTGGTTTGGGACATGATACCGGTCGACGTATGGGATGCCATACGTCGACTGGTTTGGAACGTAGGCAACAATGACCCACTGTGAAGATACCGATCGACGTTTAGGAAGCCATACGTCGACCGGTTCTGGGAAATCCTCTTCTATTCTTGATGATTGGGAGGGAGCTGCAGGTTCTTCCTTTGATGGGGACTCGGGCATGATTCCATGGGAAGACTTATAACAAGCAATGAATTTGGCTGTCCCCAACACTTAGAAAAATTTTGGACCTGCATCCAAATTCCAAAATGCATGCTCTCGGGATCTCCAAATTTTCAAAAGTTCGATCGATCGAAATGGTCACTTCCACTTCCCACTGTCCTGTGTAACCCAAGTACACCAACTTTTGATAATTCAAACACCCACGCCACTACACTTACGTGTAATTTCAATACATTTCAACAATAAATTCAATAGGAACAACCACGTAAATAACATAATTTACCACACGTCACTAAAATACACTAAAGGATTTGGTGTAATTAAAAGTTAATTGCATTTTCTCAATAGCCATGAATACAAACTTATTTACATTCCCAAAACTACAATTACACATGAAATGGCCAAATACAAAATAGCAAAAATCATCTTCTAACAACTTTCAAGCTTGCGGAGGATTTTCATCCGCCATTCCCTTGCCATGACCTGAAAAATATAATAATATAATGGGGTAAGCAATTTGCTCAATAGGTGACGCCTAAGACGCACCTCATGAGACCCCGTGAATCCAAAATAAAGAATAGGCCAATAGGAGTTGGGGTCATACAACATAGGGGAGAATACAACATGGTTATCAATCTCAACACAATTACTAAGATGCAATGCATGCCAATGTCGCTCCCCATTTTCACAATTCAATCATCGTTTTCAAACTGTCAATACAGCCCGCCCTTTGGTGACCACGCAGCGACACGAGAGAAGGATTGGCTAGTGTCCCTGACCCTTGGTACCCCCGCGGCATCATTATGGGGCCCAACTAGCTCAACCACGCTAGGGCGACTCCCTAGTCCCCTCTAGGCTATATTAACCTCCGGCCCTTTGGTACCCCCGCTGCAATCGGGTTTTCCAAAACACTTTCATCAAACTTTCTTTCCCAAAACTCCCCATTTTCATTTCAAAAACGATTACTTCCCTTCATGGAACCCAATGGTGTACATGCATGTCTCATGATCTCAATACTATGAAAATGAGGAATTTAACACAGCACAAGTAAGCATGTTCTCATGCTTCTAATATTTAAACCATAATTGGATTATCACAAAATACAATACGGCATGCTTTCATACACCATTCATAGCATGTGAACAATACAATAGGCATAACTCACAATATCAGCATACTTTTCAAATAGTGCAATCAAAACAAGTCTTCACATATTCACATATAAACATTCAAGACATTTTTAGGCTACAATTAACACAAATAAGCATGCTATAACACAATTCAAGTAAACTAATTCACAAATGTGCATGAATAATGTGAATTAGGAAGCCCCTACCTCAAGATTGTACAAAACCCTTAAAATGATCAAGAATTTTGAAATCCAAGGGAAGCACCAAAGCTAAAATTGATGGTACTCACGCGTAGAACTCGTCGTGCTCTCCATTTTGCCTCAAACGGCTCTTAAAAACTCCAAGAATTGAAGAAGTTACCAAGATCCAAAGTTTGCTTCTCAAATGGAATGAAGAAAAAAATGGAAATGAGAGAGAGAAGAAGGCTACGGGAGAGAGGAATGAGAATGCAGAAATGTGGTCTCTAGACCACTTTGTGGTTAATGGTGGGTCCCACCAATTTCTTTTCTTTTCCCTTTTTCTTTTCATTTCAATTGGCACTACACATTAAAATACATGCACCACTAAGTAAACACCACATAATCATATAAATTAAAATACACAAAATGCAATTGGACCCAACCACAATCCAGTACGTAAAACGTGAAAAGATGGAAATGCCCTTGCGGCAACAACATTCCGAAAAAAAAAGAAAAATGTAGAAAATCGGAAACATTACGGGAGGAAAAGTCAAGGACATCTTATTCTCCACAAGGGTGAGAAAATGACTTTGCATTACCAGCCAATAGTTTGTAGGCGGTTAGAGAAGGTTGTTGAAAAAGATGTCAAACTTAATTGGAATTTCTGAGGGTATTTTTGATAAGCGCTTAGAGTTTGACAAAAATACTGGAGGTATGCTTGTGACTGCACAAGGCATACATGGGTTGAAGAATGAGAGCCCGAGAGTTAAGTTTGAGGATGACTCAAACTTAACTAAAATTCTTAATTAATTTGTTTTGTGGAGAAGACAGTTTGTTTAGCAGAGATACAGTGGCTCATTTGAAATTTTCGCCAATGTGAAGATTTGTTGAATATTATGGCTCAAAATTGCCAACTTAGCACCAAGTAATGCATCAACCATGACCTAATCAGCTTGTCCTCCAAGGGGCGTGATCAGAAGTTGTTTTTAGTGCCAGCCCATGTGTGATCAGTAAGGCTTATGCTTGATCAGCAAGCATAAGTTGCTTTTGTTTGGCTATAAATAGCCATGTCTCTCCATGCTGTTTCATCATCCTAAATCATCAGTTTGAATTTGTAATATCAGTTAGAGAGTGAGAAATTTGTGGGTGCATTTGGGTTTTTGGATGTGAACCACTTTGCTTTGTATGTTTTTATTTTTATAGCGTGAACGTAAGTATAGCTGAACCACATAAATTCTTGTCTCGTTTGTGTGTCTGCCTATTTTATTTTCTTATCATTTATTTTTCTCTTGTTCTCGTAAACTCCTATTCGATTCCCATTTCATAACAGAATTCCATGTAGATGGGCATGTATCTCAAATATCTGCCCTGTGGGTGCTATAGACTTCATTTGCATATCTATCTTGCAAGAGATCGCGATACTTACCAAGTCCGCATGGATGAAGTGCTCTATCCGAGATTTCGCAAATAACCTGTTCATTGAAAAGGAAGGCAGTGAGGAACTAAAAAGCAGCAAATATTATGTGAAATAATGACTTGTGCCAAGCAAAAATGAAACAGAAAAGAAACAGTGAGTTGGCAATATACTTCTTATATGCAACTTGAATGCGGGCATTCTGTATCTCTGTGAGTTCATTTATCCTCTCCGTTACAGAGCCTTCATTTTTGTCAAAATAGGAAGATGTTCCTTTCCAGCATTTTTTTATCAAAGCAGATACAACTTTTATGTCTCTTCCTTTTGCATCAACAAGAAGGTTCTTGAGGGACTTCAGCTCTCCTGTCAAATTGGAAACAAACCATGGTTGAAAAAAGGAAGAAGATAGGAAAGCAGGAAGATAGTACTGGCAGATAACTTCGTGATGATCATTTCAAATAGTTATTGTCATTGACCACAGATAGATTGAAACTGCAGCATGAGGATAACCAATCAAAAAAAAAAAATTGGTCCAACGGTCGCTCGCATACAACTTAATAACCAAGACTCGAGATATTTAACAGTATGGTTTATTTTTAGTGTCATGCTCTAAGAAGCCAATTACTAAATTTCGTCGTTGGAAACTGGTGATTAAAGTAAAATTCAAGCACTCAATGTACCCTCGCACGGAACACATTTTGAAGGAGAAACACCATAATCGTATCCGGTGGATGTCTTCTTTTAACAATCACCTTCATTCGTGCACCTTCATCCTTTTTTGCGGTGTATCTTAATTTCAGGATGATCCACTTTAAGCTTTGTGATCTAGATTTTCATTTGTGAAGTTATTGGGAACAAATTCCTAAACAGTACTCTAATTTGTTTCTTCTATTTGTCAGACTTAACAAGCCCCACATTACGTGGAATCTTCTACTGTTTGATAATCGGTGAATAAATACTTTATTTTGTTTCATCTTTAGCTTGACTCGAAACACTGGTACAATCTTCTATAATTCAATTTGATAATCGGTGCATAAAACTTTGTTTTGTTTCATTTATATTTTCAAACTAAACAAGTCCCAAATGCTTGGTATCTTTCGTCCAATAATTGAAGCCCTTCATTTTCTTATATATAGTCTTGACCTAAGTGTGTTTGAGGCACACACACACTCTCATCTCCCTTCTTCATTGTTATACTACTACAAAGGCAGCAATGGATGCCATCTTCTCATATCTTCTGCCCCTTGTAGCCCTCTTTCTCTCTCTTTCTCTCATTTTCCGCGCTAACAAACGCGATTCAGGCAACTCAAAACTCCCACCAGGCAAAAACTGGATGGCCTTTGGTTGGAGAGAGTATAATTTTCGCCTTGGCAGGCCCCGAAAAATTCGTAAGTGAGAGAATGAGGAAGCACTCTCCTGATGTTTTCCAAACCTCCTTGTTGGGAGAGAAAATGGCAGTGTTCTGAGGCGCCCCGGGGAACAAGTTCTTGTTCTCCAATGAGAAAAAGCTTCTCACCTCATGGTGGCCGAAGTCGATGAAGAAAGCTTTGCTCTTCCCTGAATTCGTCGACGATTCTCTAAAAGAAGTAGCAGCATTGTCACACGGTTTTCTCCACGAAATCCTAAAGCCGGAAGCATTGAAATAGTACATACCGGTTATGGATTCAATGGCGCGCCAACACTTGGACGAGGAATGGATTCCTAATGGAGAAGTGAAGGTCTTTCCTGTGTCGAAGAAGTATACTTTTGCATTGGCGTGTGAATTGTTCATGAGCATCAATGATCCTGAACACATTGAAAGGCTGGCCAATCCCTTCACTCTTGTTACATCAGGGATGTTCTCGGTGCCTATAGATTTGCCCGGGACAGCTTACAATGGCGCGATCAGAGGAGGGAAAATGGTCCGTGAGGAGCTTCTATCGATCATCAGGCAAAGAAGACAGGAGCTATTCGAGAATAAGGAGACAAAATACCATGATATGTTGTCGCGGATGCTACACGAGACAGATGAAAATGGCGAGTTATTGAATGAAATGACGATTTCTAACAACATTATTGGTATGCTAGTTGCAAGCTATGAAACAACTAGCACTGCTGTCACCTTTGTCTTGAACTATCTTGCAGAGCTTCCCCACATTTACGATGCGGTTTTCAAAGGTAATACTATCTCCAATTCTAACACTAATTGCTTCAGGAACTTAATTAGAAGTTCTCGTTAATTTAAAATTTTTATAACAACTTTTCTTCTGTTCCTTCTCTTTCGTTCATATTTGGAGGGACGAAAATTTATCAATCAGAAAGGACGACTTATTCGTCATCTTTTTTCCACTCTCCTTGTTTTCTTTCTACCAAACGAAGGAAGCTTGTTCTTTTTTTCCTATCTTCTATCCATCCCTCTACGTTCCTTCCTACCAAACGAATCATAAGGGTGCTGGGAGAGATTATCTGGATATCATTGAGTGGTTGTCTAAGCCAAAGATTATTAAACCAATTTTTAGCAATGCACCAAACAATATATGGCTCATAAAACATTCAAATCTGACTCAATTTGGTTTGTGTTGTGAACAGAACAAATGGAAATTGCAAAGTCCAAATGTCCAGGAGAGTTGCTAAAATGGGAAGACAGAGAAGATGAAGTATTCTTGGAATGTTGCAAGAGAAGCATTGAGACTAATGCCGCCAGGTCAAGGAGCCTTTAGGGAGGCTACAACTGATTTCACATATGCGGGTTTCACTATTCCCAAGGGATGGAAGGTATGCGGTTCCTTCTTAATCTGAGAATCTAAAAAGACATTATTCCATATTATTTGCATAAAGTGATTGTTCTCGGACTCGAACTTACATTACAGAATTCAAACTTTTACCATTGCATCAAACAAAGGTAACACGAAATAAAAAATCGTTCATTTTGCAGACATTTTGGACAGTACATTCAACACACAAGAATCCGAAGTACTTCCCAAATCCAGAAAAATTCGATCCATCAAGATTTGAAGGGAGCGGACCTGCACCGTACACTTTTGTACCCTTCGGAGGAGGACCAAGAATGTGCCCTGGAAAAGAGTACGCTCGACTAGAAGTACTGGTTTTCATGCATAATGTAGTGACAAGATTCAAATTGGAGAAAGCAACTGCAAATGAGAAAGTAATATATCATTCATCCCCGACTCCAATGAGCGGTGTCCCAGTTCGCCTTCATCCTCATGAGAAATAAATCTACTGTCTCCTTCAGCTTCATCAAGAATAAATCTCCTAGCTAGTACTTCGCTATTTGAGCGTGTATGTAATGTATTTTTCATCCATTGTTGTTACTACACTACTATGCATGTGTCATCTGACTAAAAAATGGAGGATGAATACAAGGCAATATAAGGATAATTTTGTCTTTGAAAATTCATGTTGTTTTAATAAACATGCTATTGGGACTATTTGATACCATATTAATTTGTTTTTTTGTACTTACCTAATAAATAAGTCTATTGTCAGCAACAGTCATGTTTTTAAACGAGTTGACTTGTGAGTCACACCTCATCCAAATTAAATAACCTATTTTAATCTTGCACTGATGTAACGTGCTGTGGTGGTTCGTGGTGTTCAAATGAAACTTGTGACACGGTGGTTCTCAATTTATAGCTATATGACAAGGGATTTCATCATGCAAATAAAAAATAGACATACAAGTCCAACAGCAAAAGCAGATGACACAACTAGTTTTGAACTCAGAAATTGAGTAAATGTTCATTACAATAACGATTGAGCTAAATGCAAAATTTCCATAAACTTCCAAACAACCTTTTAAAATCTATACAAAAAATAGTAATATCGTAGTTTTCAACTACATCCTTCTTTTTTCCCCTTTGCTTGCTTTTTGGATGAGTAAAAAATTCTAAATTTACATGGAAGAGCATCACAAAACAGTTGACCAAAACAACCTTAAGCTCGACTCCTATAAAAAAAAATAATCGGGAATTCACATTTCTGTCCCGAAGACAAGTCTGATCAAACAGCACTCAGCAATTGTTGAGTACTCCCTTATAAGCACTACGCTCAACTGTATAGAAGGATCCGTGTCCTGTCTGCGACTTCAGATTACAGTTTAACCTCTTTGCAGCTATAAATTATGAGTCTTCAGATAGTAGCTGTTCTATTTCCTCACCAAAGTTTTCAATGTCTCCCTGTTCATAGTTTTCACATTCTTCCTGTTCAATATTCTTGTTGTTTTCCATTCCTTCAAAGTTTTCATGATCTTCATCATTTAGAGGTTCTATAGCAAGCTGCTGGTTCAGTCCTGTTTGTTCATACAACATTTCTTTCTGGACATTCCAATCATTAGCAGTCTTCTCCACCACATCTCCAATCAATCTCTCGTTTTCTGCTATGTGTCTTATGTTTTGGACATCCACCACCTCGCTAGCCCCTTTCACAATTAAACAAGCAGGACACAGTTGATAAACAAGGATGAATAGACACTTTGAAAAGGAAGCAGGGACGGTATGCGGAAATTAATCAAAAACTGCTTAATCATCTTGGACCTAATCTTTTCTTTGTTCCTTTCATTTATTGTTTATTTTTTAAAAGAACAACGGGGTACATGAGCCACACTTGGAAGCACATGCGGAAAATCATTCAGAACTATAAAAGAATACCATAGTTCTAATGTCTTCTTGTTTTATAATATAGATGTTTAAAGTTACCTTTGATGGCTAGTTTCTTTGCCTCTGCATAGTCCTTTGACATCTTCTTGACCGCATCAACATCAAGTTCTTTACCCTGAAACAAGGGGAACTTAAATTTAGCTCTTTAAACTAAAAGATGGGCGACATATTACATGCATATTAAAGCACAGGAAAAATACGAGACATTGTAGGAGGAAATCCATGATATCCAAAGCAATTTTTGATACCATTCTATTAACAGGCTAATTGTGCCCAAAATAAAGGGCATACAAACAAGTCTTTTAATCCATCTGCACCCACAGAGATTGTCTGGAACCAGATTCTAATTTTTTCCAAAAAGTTCCCAAAAAATTCCATTCATCCAGCATATTCGTATAAAATTTCAGTTGCAACCAAGCAAACTACATTGGGCTGGCTTTTCTGTTCAAATTTGTATATTTAATGGGCTAGTTTAATTTAGTTGGCTACCAATTGCCACCACTGTTTGACTGAAACCAACTTGATACAACTTATTGCCAGTTGCACTGAAAACAAACATAAAACTGTATTTACCTTGCCAATCATACTCTACACGCAGAAGAATCACAATAAACTGTATATGGATTAAAAGTTGAGAAATTCTTTTCTTTTTAAAAAACAAATTTGACCTGATTTCACCATAATTGTAACAATAAAGCTTCATTAAATACTGAATAATTTCAAAAGTCAAAAAATTTAGTCATAAAACTGGAGCAGTGTGAATAAAATTAAATAATTGAACATACAAAACTTGCTAGGTCTATTGTTCTTGAATTATTTTGAAAATTCTTCTCAAATTATGCTATCACCACTACTAGCGTAACTACCCAATTCTTCTCTAGATTCTTTGATGGTTAGTCCTAATTAATCAATAAAACTAATTTCCAAATTACTCTAAGTTCCAAACAATGCCCATAAATTACTTGCTGATTTAGGAACATTCAATAATTTTCACAACATGGTGTCTCTTAAAGAGAATTCCGTGCAGATGGGCATGTATCTCAAATGTCTGCCCTGTGGGTGCTATAGACTTCATTTGCATATCCATCTTGCAAGAGATCATGATACTTACCAAGTCCATATGGATGAAGTGCTCAATCCGAGATTTCGCAAATAACCTGTTCATTGAAAAGGAAGGCAGTGAGGAACTAAAAAGCAGCTAATATTATATGAAATAATGACTTGTGCCAAGCAAAAATGAAACAGAAAAGAAACAGTGAGTTGGCAATATACTTCTTATATGCTACTTGAATGCGGGCATTCTGTATCTCTGTGAGTTCATTTATCCTCTCTGTTACAGAGCCTTCATTTTTGTCCACAAACCCAAATAGGAAGATGTTCCTTTCCAGCATTTTTTTTATCAAAGCAGATACTACTTTTATGCCTCTTCCTTTTGCATCAACAACAAGGTTCTTGAGAGACTTTAGCTCTCCTGTCAAATTGGAAACAAACCATGGTTGAAAAAAGGAAGAAGATAGGAAAAGAGGAAGATAGTACTGGCACATAACTTCATGATGATCATTTCAAATAGTTATTCTCATTGACCATGGATAGATAGAAACTGCAGCATGATGATAACCAATCAAAATTAAAAAAAAAAAAAAAAACAACAACAGCAGTCGCTGTCATACAACTTTATAAATATAAGTAACTTTAACCAAAAAAAAAAAAAAACTTTATAAATAAGACACAAGAAATTTAACAGTATGGTTTATTTTTTCGTGTCATGCTCTAAGAAGCCATGTACTAAATTTACAGGGGGGGATAACAAAGCTTAGCTGTCAAAGATTATTGAAGTCTTGGCAATCATACCAAAAAAGTAGGGTTTAAGTCTTTGTCAGAGCTTAATCAGCATAATTACCTATAACACGTCAGCCAACCCCCCTCTTATCAACTCTTGAAAAATTAAGGAACAGAAATATTTAGGGCTTTTCTGTTCACAATTTTTCTTTTGGTGTGGCCTACCAAGTAATTTGAGAGGAAGATGAACCTGCAGCCAGGAATGTAGATGGTGAGACAACAATGGTTCCCAAAATTGAAACAAGGAGAGATACCACCAACCCTTCTTCACAACAAGAAGTGTGGAGAGACCACTTTTTGCACAGGTCAAGACCACCTCTATGCCATAAATCCCAAAAATAGGGGGTATATGCTATTCCCAATTTATTAACAATCACACAATCAGGCATCAAATATATTTAAGACTTTCAGGCTAATAAGTGCTAAATGTCGCCGAAAATTTCCATAATAGACACAATGAATGATGTTCCATACCTCTTTTAGTGCTTCAAAAGTTTGATTATCCTTTAAGAAGCAAATCAGCAAAGATATTAAGTAATCTTTAAATAGAGTATATCAACTGTAAACTGGGTCATAACACAGAATCGATTTATCTAAGTATGCCAGTGAGTTTTTGTATCACTTTGAAAATCTCAATTACTATATTGAATATCATACTTCTAATTTCTTCAAGCGATTTTGGAATTAGACCTTTAAAAATTCTTATCAGAAGATTTAGTCATGTCTCGTAAAGACCAACATTAGGTACAACAATCAGAATTAGTGAAATCTGAATAGAAGTTCCAGATGGCAGAAAGCGCACAGTGGAGGCAATGAGGAAGACATAGGCTTATGATTTAATAGAGAAATGACCCTGCATTGGACCAGACAGCAGAACATGATCATGTTATTTCAACTAGATGGTGCAAGGTTTAATATATCTACATCTAATGATGCATTAAAAGGTCAAATTAACATTTACCATTTCATCATCTATTTCAAAGAAACATCGTAATAATAGGTGAGAGTATCTGGTAGCGTGGCAGAATACAGACGTTGATTCGAATCATCAAAACTAAGGCATTGGGATACCGAAATACGAAACTCCATTTGTCTGGAAGCTTTGAACTTCAACTCAAATATAACAACTGCACAGGGTAAAGCCTATGAATGTTTTGTCAGTAGTTGGACTTATAACTCGAAAGAGAAACTAAACCATTCTTTTCTGAAGCATCAATATCAATGGTTTGAACCATGATTCCACTTTGAATCTCAACATTTGACTAGGGGTTGGGAAAGGGTTCAGCGCACCGTAATACAAAACAAACGAAACGGAAGAAAAGCCTCTAACATTACTTATTCCCACCCATTTGAGCTAGAGTATAGCCCCTTTAACACGGATGGAATGAAAAAGAATTCCCTAACTTTCGAATTTGCGAAAAGGACCAACGACGATGTTTCCAAAAGGAGGAGGAGGAGGAGGAGTAGGAGGATTAGCGGTATGTGAGTCGGGGTCTTCCCCCTCATATCGTGCTATTTTGCTTTCTATTATTTGTATCCTATGACTAGAGATCTTGTAGTATATGAGGGGACTGGCTTTGGAAGGGATTTGGGTGTCAGCAGGTCTTTGGTTCACCAACTAGGTCGAATGATTTATTCTAAAATGAAGACAGCAAAAGGCACGTGGAAGTGCCAAGTCTAAATTTACAATCTAAAGTGCAACATAAGTCTCTTAAGCGAATCAATAGTATATAACTTAGTAATCTTATAATTAAAAGATAAAAATATACTCATCAAAATAGTAAGGCTTTTAAGAATCATGCTTCAAGAAAAAGGGTGTAACCATACCAAGTGATAAATAAATTTTGAAAGGAGGTTTGAATGGTTGAGTCTCATAAAGGCAGTAAAGGCAATAGAGCCCACCCAGTCTATGTGATAGAGAAAGAGCTGAGACCGTGTAACCTGCATACAAGTGTAAACAGTTAGTGAACTAGAAACCTGCATACAAGTTGATACATTAAAAGTATTAGTGAACAAGAAACCTCTAATATTTAACAAAAGAAAACATAAATGTAATTATTACATAAAGATATAGATTCAGCATCTTTAAAGTCAAGACATAATAGCTTCTCTGATTTTATACGTTTGTTGATGCTGTACAATTAAACAAATCCTTTATAACATGTAGCTCACTCAGCAACAAAAGCAACTCTTCAAAGATGAAAGACTATAAACTAGCTGTAACAACACATAAAAGCACTTCTTATTAAATTTTTGGTAGGTAAGTCACACGCAGGTATCCTTTTGTCCCACTGGGGACTCGAACCCTCAACTTTCCATTTGGAATCAATATGGACACCAAAAAAGACCTTAAAAAATTATACATATGTAACAATCATAGAAAGAATCAATATCAGACAATAAGAATTTTTAGCAAGAATGGACTAATCTGGCCTACCTAACTCATTTATGACAACAACTTGCAAGTAATACAAAATAACAATTGGAGTTCTACTCAATTCAACTCAACAAAGCCTTTTTCAAAGTATTTGGGGACATCTACATGAATATAGCTTCGCCATGCCGCTCTATATAAGGCCACAACCTTAGTCAACCCAGCATGTTATCATATCTTTCCTTACTATCTCCATATATTGGTTTTGATCTTACCTTCTACTAGCAGTACCCTCAAAGTCTCAATGTAGATCACAAACCCACCCTTCCTCAGAGCAATTATTGATTTTCACTGCACATGAATAAACCTACTTAATAGATTTTCTATCATTTTATATCCAATTATTGCTATTTCAACCATCTCATAAATGCATTCAATTCTAATTTTTCCATTTCTTATCATACGATAGTTTGACTCAACATTCCATTTGAGCCCAAAATTATGTCTCATAAAGTATGACTGGTTTAGTAATTGTCTAAGGAATTTTAACTTTCAATATTACAAGTACAGTTTATCAGACTTTATGACAAAAGCACTCATCCATTCACACATCCTACTATTCAGTTTTATGATTAATGTTATCCTCAAATTCTCCCTTTTTGTGAATAATTTAGTCTAGCTAATGAAAATGTTCATCTTCTGGTGTCTCTTAACTCTCAATCTTCACTGCATCCCATTTGTATTTCTAGTTTTAATCAAATTATATTCCATATATTCAATCTTAATCCTACTTATCTTAGACCCTCTTGATTCTAGATTTTCTCTTCAAACCTCTAATTTAGTAATCATGCTCTATCTCGTCAATTAAAAAAGTACTACCAACAAATGCTACACCTTGCATCTCACATTGAATGTTTCTTATCAGTGCGTCCATAACTGAGGAAAAGATAAGGGCTTAATGTTGATCTCTGGTGTTGGCCTAAAATAATTGAAAATTTACTCATTTTTTGCAGTACCTGTCATACATATCCTTCAACATGCCAATATATCATTGTGGATCATGTCTTTTCTAAAATCAATCATGGTATACCTCCAGAGAATGTATCATGACTTTTCTCCAAATATATAAAAATCATACAAAGATTTTCTTCCTCTTTGTATCTTCACATTAATCTCTTTGATAAGTCAATTGCTTTCCTAAGTTGAGCAACAGCATGAAAAGCTGCATTAGAATATATGTCACCATCAACTGGTAAATATCTATAATTAGTACTTTTCTGAAGTTGAAGGTTTTTAGTTTGTAGTGACTATAACAAAGTTCAGGTTAACAAACAATTGCAAGATTTAAATAACAACGTCAAGATTCACACTTTCTACGAAAAAATAAGTTTATAGCCATTCTTTCCAACCCAACCCAACCCCAAAAAAATAAATAATAATGTATAATAAATAACAAAACCTGCACCAGCAAAACAAATACCAAGCAGATGAACAAACTCGGCTCTAGCAAACAACAAAAAATACATTTTATAATCAATGAGTTGAAGTGCATAAGAACATACCAATCGAATGCGCATACAATGACTGCATAAAGAAAGCCAAGTTTGTAGAAGGACAAGCCTCAAAAATGAAGGAAAACTTTTTAGAGAGCCATATCCTCTTCATATCAACCAAAGTCGTTGCTTCACCCTGTAAAATGACAAAGTCCACAACATTAAACAATGCAAAAAAGCAAGAAGAACCATCTCCCTCCAATATATACAAGAATTTTAAAAAATAAAACACCAAGACAACTTTTTTAAGTAGTACCTTTGCGAATTCATTTATTAGATCATCAATGTCGAGCTTGAATGGTTTGAGATCCATTGCATCAGACACTCTTCTACTCAATTACATAAAGGAACAGATTTTCTTGATTGGTGCAATGAAAATGTTAATCTGGTTAACAAAAAGAAAGATGTGAATTACAAATGTAAATTGTAAGATAAACCAATATAAATATGATTTTAAAAAATAAAATTTAAAAAATAAAAAATAAAAAAATATTTTACTGGTATCTCTACAAATTCAAGCAAGTTGACTAAATCTCCAGTTTATTTTCTTTGAATTGGGGTATTGGGAATGGAATTGGTAGCTCCAAATTCCAATTACACTATTTGGTTAGTGGATTATGTGGATATACTATTAAAAATTGGTCTGAAACTTAATTCCAAAAAAAAAAGAAAAAAAAAAAAAAACCCTAAAGTTAAGATGTGCAGCCCGAGGGTTGGTTATCTGATGAATCTTTTTTAGAGGATCCTAAATCAGCTGCAACAGCAAACTCGTCCACGTGCTTATGACAGTGTGTTTGTGTGTGATGGAAAGGGAAACAGCAAAATCAGATGTGCAGCGCTAAGATTAGAAAGGGATTGTGACTGTGTGTGATGGAAACACCAAAAATAATAAGAGAGAGGGAGAGTGAATACGAAAAACAGATTGAGATACCGACTCACCGGAGAAGAAGCCGACGATGACGAGAAGACAGGGAATGGTCGGCCAGTGAAGACGGTGAATGGTCGGCAGGTGAGAAAGAGAGAGGTCGCGGGAGTAGGAGGTTTAGGGTTAATGGGTTAAGTAATTGCCTAATTGGTACTCCTATTACTAATATACGAACCGCCAAATCCGAATTCTATGTCAGATAGTAGTCCATTCCGAATTTGAAGAATTCGGATTAGGTTGAGTTGTCAAAAATTCGAGTCTAATCCGTATATATATATATATATATATATATATATATATAATTTATATATTATTTTAAGTATATTATATATAATATTCAAATTATGATTATTTTTTTTCTTCAACTTCTTTTGTTTAAATTTTAATTTATGGTTTATTATCATTTTTGGAGAATTAATTTTTTTAAGACTTTGTAATTTTTAAGAATTTTGCATAGAGTTTTTTAAAAAACTTGTGTTTAGGAATAACCTAATTTGAAACTAACTATAGATCACTTTAAAATTTTAATGTGGATATTAGCCATATAGATAACCAGAATTAACTTGAATTTTTAGTCTAAAATCTCAATCTGAATTGCAAACCCAACTGTAAGAATTCAAGGATTGGTTTAGTTCGGGTACGAAGTCACTTTACAGTTGGGTTATAATGAAGCATCTTATATGTCAGAGTTGGACCTAAATTATACGTGCAACCTACCCGAGTAGCAACCCAACTCTAAACCCAAACCCCATATTCATGGAAGGGTCTCTCGATCATATTTCAACACATTTATTTTTAAGTTTGAACAATAAAACTAATTTCAACACATTACCTCTTCGTGTTTTACATGGTTATTATGTGTTGAAAATCTGTCAAAATTTGAAAGAAAAAAAAAGTATTTGAAACATGATTAAAGTGTGTTAAGAATTCCCATGGCGGAGTATCCGCACTCCATGGAGGGGACTCTCATCAAGTCCCACTAACTCACTCAACTCTCTCTCTCTAACTGGGCTGTTTGAAAACATGCTTTATTATAATTCCGTTTCAAAAAACTATTTTCTGAACCAAGTAGAATTTTGTATAGTTATCTAAGGTTGTGTTTAGTAATGAGAAACGTTTTTTGTTTTCTGTTGTCAACCTCTAAAAAGGCAAAACGAAAAAAAAAATCGCATTCAATAAAATGTTTTTGTTTTTTTATAATAGAAAACGTTTTCAATTTTTATGAAGAAAAGAGAAAACATCAAAATGATATTTCTTATGTTTTTGGCACTGTAGCAGAGAAACGTTTTCACTAATGTTAGTGCACAAGCACTATTCATTTCAAATAAAATTTATATTATTTGTATTATATACTAAGTTGCATATTAAATATTAATAAAAATATATATTTTTAATATAGAATAAATTAAATATTGTATATTATTTTTTATTTGATAAAAATATATTTTAATATATAATATATTAAATAATAATGTAAATGATTTTTTATGACGAAATAATTTTTGATATAGAATATAATGTTATTAAATTATTAACCAGTAGATATTTTATACTATTATATATCATATCTATATTATATTATATGTAAATATTAAATTATAATTAATTTACAATATTATAACACAATATATATTTTATTACATATAAGATATATTATTTAATATTTTTTATTCATAATAAATTATCATATGCTAAATATATTATATATCACACAATAAATGTATACATCATGCATATACATGTATTTATATACATAATTGGTGGGAATGTTTTTGTCTTGTTATATATAATTTTGTTATTATGATGTACTGGTATTTTTAAGATTTATAATTTTAAATTAGATTTTCTAGATTTATGGCATTTTGATATTAATGGAAGCAAGTGTCATGTCTGAGTGGTTGGGTTGCTCCCTGTGTCCGAGAGTTCGTGTTCAAGTCATCTACCCTCCCCTCTAACCTCTAACTCTTAAAATTTTTGTCATGAAAAAAATAAAATAGAAATGAAAAAAAAAAATAAATAAATAAAAATATATTATGTACATTTTGTAACAAATATGTTATATTACTAAACACAATTATTGTTTTATGTTTTTAAATTTGTGGCAACGACAAGTGTTAATAAACATCATTTTTGTTTTCTATTTTTACTTAAGAAAACAAAATCATGTTTCTGCTTTCTTAAGACTGCAAAAACATAAAACGAAAACGTTACTAAACGCATCCTAAATCTCAATTTTTTTAAAACAAACTGAGAAACAAACCCAATTTTGTTCTTTACCAAATTGACACCTTGATCTCTCCAACAATCGTTTGAGCACAATCTCAGATTGGTTTTTTGCCCACTCTTGATAACAGTTGGTATGTTATAATCCTTAGACTTGGCTCTGAGTGGAAACATTGATTTACAGTTAGTTGGATTGGTTGGACTCAAAAGATTGAACCTTAATAACAACCAATTCAATGGATCTGTTCCTATAAACCTTGGAAAGTCCAGGGTTCTGGAGGAGTTCCATCAATTATTTTCAAGGTAAATAATATCCCCTGAGAAATCTCAAATTATCATAATTTAACTTTGATTTTCATCCGATTCCAAGACGCCAACTCAATGCTCCCAAACATAGCATTGTAGATTTGGAGAGCTATCTATGAGCGCTTTTAAGTGGTGAATTCCCAAAATTCGTTTCAAATATCAAAAAACTATCTCGCAATCAGAATAATTTTACTGGTTTTTTTTCCACCTGGGATTGCAATGTATCTCAGGAATTTGGAACTTAGTTATAACAAGCTAAATGAGTCAATTCCTATACAAACAATTATTTGGACGGACCACTACCTGCAAATGTCTCCAAGATTGGAGAGGCTGGGATTAAACCCTAAACCGAGTCTGCAGTTTGTGCAACGGTCCTACAATTATTTGGAGGGACCAATACCTGCAGATGTCTCCAAGCTTGGAGGGGCTGAGATTGGGAGGCAATTCTTTTAATGGAACAATCCCACCATCATTTGGTACTCTTCAAAATTTGATCTCTTTGGAGATGGAAAGCAATATGCTTTCATTCGTACCGCCTGAACTGGGCTCGTGCCACAATTCGGTACTGTTGAATCTGGCTCAGAATAAGCTGATGCCGCGACATTTGGGAAATCTTATCAACCCTCAGGAGATGAAGCTTCAATCCAACAACTTGCTTGGTGAAATCCCAATTCACATTATGCAACTAAACAAATTCCAGACACTAATGAAATCATCTGGGATTGACTGAAAAGGCTCCATACATTCTTCAAACTCAATTTTGCAGAATCTTATCAACCTGAATTTACAAGCCAAAAATCTCAGTGGCCCCGATACGCAATTAGCAACTTCAATTCCCTATTCGAACTCCAACTACAGAAAAATAATGAACAAGAATATTGCAGTGAAAAGACAACAACTAAAGCTTCATTAATCCAGAATTGATAGACAGTAATTAGGTGCATCTTCAATAGTTAAAGAAAACTAATTAAAGGGAAATGCAAATAAATTGCTCTTCAAAATTTTGTTCCTGCTGTTCATTGAAATTTGTTTGAGCAGGTTGTGATTTTAGTTCCTGAATTTTTCTGCAAGCATACAATTAAGAGAATAGAACCACAAAAACACAATCTAAGGAAGTAATCTCTCAGATGATACAAATAATTTAGAGGGTAAGATCTTTAGGGTCCTCGATAATCTTAGCTAGGGTTTGCAAGAATGAAGCCAGATCAGCACCATATATGACCCGATGATCTGCCGTAACATTCACCTGTGGATTTTGCAGTTTCCCAGTGTAAGATTCAATAAATAATTCAAAGAAAAGGTAGCGTGATTAAAGAAAAATGGGGAGATGATGGGAAAAAAATTACCTGCATCTGATTTTTCATACCAATCCGGCCATCCTTTGTAGCAACAACAGTGGGCTGAGAAGCTCCGACAGCCATAATCGCACCCTGTAAAAGTAAGATGGCAATGACTAAGTTACATTTCCACTCACATTTAATGTGGCAATACAAATTTATACATGCTTCTGATAGGTTGTCTAGCAAATATGAGGCCATTCAGATTTGATTATGAACACTTACAGTTCCTGGTGGCAAAATGGCATCAAAGCGATCCACACCAAACATTCCAAGGTTAGATAGAGTAAAGGTACCTGCAACACCAGCAAAAAGGCATGATAAGCAAATGTGGAACATGGTTCTTGCCCTACTGTTGAAATAAAATTAAGCTGCGCTACAAAAACCATAATAGCAGGATGGCTGATAAAGGGTCTAATTACCATAATAGCAGCCTGTACCGATAGGAATTCACATAAGTGTGTGTATGTTTCTTTGCCACACAAACCCTTGTAAAAGGAGAGAGAGAGAGAGATGTTCATTTTTGCCATACTGCCACACAAATGGACCGAGTGATCCCTACATTGGTGTTAAATGTGGACAGTTTTAATTTTGGTTAAATTGCTTTTTTAATTAAAAATCACATTTTACACGTTCAAGGTTGGCTCGGCAATTTTACTAACGGTAATTTAGGAATTTCATCTTTATATAGTGTCTGGATTTTGTTATGGATTTCGTTTTACTAACGGTAATTTAGGAACTTCATCTTTATTTAGTAGGTATTAGGTTATGGATTTTGCTTAGAATCCTTGTTTATAATTAGTTAAATCTTAACTACTCTAGGAAAAACTTTATCTTCGAGGAGTTCCTATTTTTTGTTAGATGAACTTCTATGTAAGCAAACTTGTTCGGACGATTCAAAAGTTTTGATCACTGAATCTCGTGTGGACAATCAAAACAGGGCTCCATTAATCTCCTTCAGGTAAGAATCCTAGAAGGCTTTGCTGAAATTCTCTTAGGGCTAGTTTGGTGTGACGGAATGGAATCAATTAAGAGGGAATGGGAATGGTTTTTATTCCATTCCCGTGTTTGGTAGGTTAAATTAAAGTTAGAAAGAGAATCAAGAGGCATTCTTGGGAATGACCATTCCCACTATTTCATTCCCTCTCTTTGGCAATGGAATGAGCATTTCATTCCCACATGGAATAGAATTAAAAAAATTATGACAAAAAAAACCGTTCATCATCTCTTCCATCACGTCTTTGTTCTCTTCCAATCCACCCCTTCATATTAAATCTGTTATACTCCTTTCCATAATCCAGTAACTTTTATATATATATATATATATATATATTCATCGATGCATATGTTGCTTCATCACGGATCTGTTATACTCCTTTCCATAATCCAGTAACTTTAATATATATATATTCTTCGATGCATCACGTATTGTACAAAAAATACTTTGCAATATAAATAGATCAAGAACATTTTTTTTCCCTGTATGGTAATCATTGTGTGTTTTGAGGTAGTATTCAATTAATGGAAGGGGTGAATCAATTCCAATAAATAAATAAAGGAAGGATTTTTTTAGGAAGGAGATCCGTTATACTCCTCTCCATAATCCAGCCTTCTTCCCCGCCGCCATCATCATCTTCTCTTAACACACAACCCAACCCAACCTCCAACACCTCCGTTCACTTGCCCAGTTTCTTTCTTCTATCTACTTTCTCTCTATATCTCTTGCCCCAATTTCATTCTTACAGACCTCCTTCCTACCCTAGATTGGAATAAAATTTCTTTAGATGTTAATTTTTTAGTTAAATTTTTTATTAATGATAAAGATTATTTGGAGAAAACAATATAAATTTATTCCATTTTAGTTTTTACATTAGTCAAACCAAACGTTAAAGGAAATCATCATTTCATTTTTATGCATTCCATGTTTGTAACCAAACAAGAGAATGGGAATCATCATTCCCATTCCATTCCTAGTTTCATTCCCATTCCATTCCATTTCATTCACGCACACCAAACTAGCCCTTATTCTCTTTCTTCTTTTTTCGTTTATTTTCACAATGTCAAGCATAATCTGATCACAAACAGCACCTCAATAACTCTAGTTAATCTCCATAACCTTGAGCCTTCCATCATAAAACTCAACTCAACTGCCCAACTTTCTAGCCTTAAGCCCTTTACTTTTCCATGCTGTCAAGCTTTCCACTGATTTCACTACAAAATCAGTCTTAAACATCAACCAATGTAACCTTATTCACCTCAACCCCAATCTTATATTCTCATCCATTAAACCTAAAATTCAAAGCCCTAGCTCATTTGATCACAGGCATTCTTAGTTCTCCTTACATAAGATTCTATCCATCAAAATCTAGGGAAAAGAAAAGGCATCAGCAATGTTTCTGTTGTAAAGCATAAAACGGACGCAAAGAGATAAATAAAACAAGTAGAATACACATATATTACGTGGTTCAACCACTAGGGCCTACATCCACGACACAAAGAGCCCAAAGGGCTACATCACTTTATAATAATACTCCCTCAATTCATACACAATACAACAGTGGAGGCTCCTTTATATAGGAGAAGAAATTATGAGAATGAAAAGAATTGGAAAATAGGAAACAAAGAGGATTTTTTTCCACTGATTCCTCTAGTAACACCAAATCTTTAATAATAGGAAATAACATCAATTACTGAAAGATTCTCCTCCACTGATTCCTCCATTAAATCTTCAATACTCCCCTTCAAGTTGGAGCATAAATGTCACTTGCCATTGAGATGAAGAGTAACAACAAGTGTGAATGATGAAGAGCGAAGACGAAGAACAATGCTACCGAACACACCGGCAGCCCAAACAAGTTAACAAAAAATTGTCGGAGATACAGCAACGGCGAGGACAATGCTACCGAACAGACCGACAGCCCAAACAAGTCGATAAAAACTGCCGGAGACACGGCAAAGGCAAAGACAATTGGGCAGCCCAAACACGTCAATAAAAACTACCAGATATATGGCAAAGGTGAAAAATATTACTGCCGAACAAACCGGCAGCCCAAACAAGTCACAAATAGCACGGAGAAACCCTTGGGAATATCCCAAAATAGGGGTCCGAACCTAAGAAGAGAAATTAGGCTCTAATACCATGTTGTAAAGCATAAAACAGGAGCGAAGAGATAAATAAAACAAGTAGAATACACAAATATTACGTAGTTCAACCACTAGGGCCTACATTCACGACACAAAGAGTCCAAAGGGCTACATCACTTTATTATAATACTCTCTCAATTCATACACAATACATTGGCGGAGACTCCTTCGTATAAAAGAAGAAACTATGAGAATGGAAAGAATTAGAAAATAGGAAACAAGGAGGATTTTTCTCTACTAATTCCTCTAGTAACACCAAATCTTCAAAAATAGGAAACAAAATCAATTACTGAAAGATTTTCCTCCACTGATTCCTTCATTAAATCTTCAATAGTTTCTATAACATGCATTGCAACTTCATCTTTTTAAGAAACCCAAGCAATATCATATTGCAAGGATGCATAAGGACAGCCCAACCTAAAGCCCAACCAGTTCTATTCTACAAGAGAACGATGAGAATGCTGAAAAATTCCTTCCATTCAAACAAGGTAAGACCTTTGCTTGGTACGACTAGTTAATGATTCCCTGAAAATAAATCATAACTTAAATAGATCATGGCATCATGAAGAACTAAACTACAGAGAAGCTCATGATCTGGATCATCCTGTCAATAAAAATAATTGAATGTTTTTGAGGGTTAGGAACCTAAACTACTTGATCATACATCAAGTACATAGATTTTCTCTAACACTTAATATCTTTCCCTATAAAAACTAGATTCAAATATCATACAAGAAAATAAAACGAGTAGGAACTACAATGCATTCCACAGCAGAAGGTTTTGAGAGAGAGATGCATTCCACAGCAGAAGGTTTTGAGAGAGGGGGAATGAAGATCACTACACAAAATTGTAAGTCAAACAGATTAGGATGAGAACAAGGAACCTGAGTGTGTGAACTAAAATTGCATTTCAACATCACGATGAAGTTTGATGATCAAGACGTGCACCCAACCCAAAAAATAAAAAAGCAAAAAATTTCAAGGACAGATTCTAATAACAAGCACGTTTAGAAGCAATAACTATTAAGAGATGGTTTTTATCAATTATCTCCAGTTGTCAGCCCACAGATCCCTGGAGCTCACGGTAAAGGGGTATTTCAGAAGTTACTAATTTGCTATGCATAGAATCTATATAACTAATTTATGTTACTAAAGCTATAATTTCATGAAACAAAATTACTTATAAGAAAAATAATATCATGGAACATTATTCATACAATTTTTTTTTTTTTTTTTTTGAAAAAGGAGAAGGTTGAGCAAAATATAAGGTTTTTTTATTTTATTTTTTACTTAAAACTATTTTGTAAATGAATGCATAAGCATCCCAATTTCTGAAAAAGCAAGAAGAGCTGATTTTGTTCTCTCAACGATGGGCAAAATATAAGTCACACTGTAGAATTTTAAATGGCTTCAATATGATTTCTTGAGTCATTAATTGTCTAACATTTCTAGTGGTCAACATCTGCACCATGATACTTCAAGATTGGTCATAAAATATCACGTGTCAATTGTCAAGACCCGTTCCCCCCCCCCCCCCCCCCCCCGACCCAGCATTCTTGGCATGACACTCACGGCTTGTGCACCCTCCCATCATATTTCGTTTGAGGATTGGTTCTGATACCATCTGTCAGGACCCACCTCACACAGTGCAATATTGTCCCCTTTGCACCTTCTTGGCAAGCACAGTTTTAAAACACATCTACACAAGTAGGAGGCATCACATGAACTAGAATAAATTGAGTGCAAAATGAACCCTTAGTAGCAGTTCAGTTCACAAGTACGGACTTCTCTCAGTTTCAGGCAAACATAAAAACAGTTGAGACACATATTTTTCGAAGGGATATTGTGGTTACTTGATAAGCACCTTTAAATTCATTTGCTACATGTGATGAGGGGATTTTGAGATTCTTCTTTCGGTAAAATAGAGAATCTATCAACTTACTTCTTATGTTCTGTGTAAAATTAGAAGAATTTGTGACACTCATACCAATTCACATGTCTGACATTACGCTTATTATGGCAACACCAACAGTCCAAATATATAATCCTTCAAACACAACTGAGAGATTGCAGGAACAGAATCGGAGATGAAATGAAGCCATAATAATCAGAAAATCAAACACATAATAAAAGTTTTCTTTTAAGATACATATTGAACTCAGTTGTACCAAAATGGCTATATATCTCAAGACATGCAAGGTTAAGAAGACATATTCTAATCAGAATATATATGTGTGTGTGCGCGCGCGCGCGCATTTACAAGTTATCCTGGTACAATCCTCTTCCTGCCAAGCCACCTTTCTCCTTGGTCAAAGCAACTATTTTTTCATGTTAGAAGGACAGCACATAAGTTCAGATGGAGCTACATCTCATCTAATGTGCGGTTTTAAATTTTTCAAGAGAACGCGTAGCAACTACTAACATTTTATAAGTCGAAGAAACTAATATTATTAAAAATTATAAATCAAGGGAATCAGTGCTTTCTTTCAATATTATTGTAGTATTGTAGCTTATTGGATATCTGCCAGCAGATACCACGATAAAGATTAATGCCTTAAAAGTAGAAACAGATAGAGATCAAGTATACAAGAAACAAGATGGAACCAATTTATTATGTTAATCAAAGACAGGTAGATGGCAGACAAAATATATATATATATCTAATAATCTACTCCACAAGGAAACACCTTCTGTTGCCTAAGAAACAAGGGTACATGCAAGGAGAGATCTCATACCCGTTGTATATTCATGAGGCTGCAGCTGCTTGGCCCGGGCCTTGTCAACCAACTCCTTCCACTTTCTTGACAATGAATATAAGTCAACCTAAAATAAATATTGCCACAAGGCCCCTTTCAATAAAACAATCCAGAGCTAGAAAACTCCCAAGGCAACTAAGACTAGATTAAGAAGAGAAAATTAGCATTTACCTTATCAGCATCCTGAAGCACTGGCGTAATCAACCCGCCATCTATTGCCACAGCAACCGCAATATTGATACTACTATTATATGTAAAGCTCTTACCATCTCTACAACTAGAATTTACAACAGGATGTTTAGCCAATGCAAGCGCTGTTGCCTTTGCTAGCAACGCTGTCATTGTTACTCCCTTTGACTTTATCTGAAAAATTTATAATACCCATAAATCACTAGGTCACAACATGATTGAATAAATGAAACAACAAAGCATCATTCCAGAGAACCTGAATTATGTAGCAAATCACCATGAGCTCATGATACCACCTCAAAGTCAAGAATTACAGTCAACTTGGGACTCAAGTTAAATCCTAACAAGTCTGAGTTAATGGATTATTTGTTGACTTCAGACCAATTTCATTTTTTAAGTTCTAAACAAATTCCAGCCAAATTCTGACTGCATTTTCATCACATTCCACTATACATTTTAACATAATTGTTTACCTTTCCCCAATTTCCCAATATGAAGTTTTCCAAATTTAGCAAATGTTCATCAAAACTCACAGTTTGGTCCAAATTTTATAAATATAAGTAAACTATATAGACCATGATTTATCATTGAGTAGAGCAATTTCTCACCTTCTTGTACAGAGCATCAAGAGCGTTAGTTGTAATTGTGTAACCGACTCTGAAAGTCGGCACGGCCAGACTTTCCACCATATTCCTACTAACCGCACCCTGCATTGTGGTAAAGGGGACAACCGACCCTAATTCAATCCCCAAACCGTCTGAAGCCTTAGCCAGCGACGGAGTCACACTTGGTTTCACCACCTCCGGCGACACAGCTGCCAAATTCGCGGCCGCGGCCTCAACATCCTTAGCAACAATCCTCCCCATTGGGCCACTCCCCACCACACCACTCAAATCCACCTTCAATTCCTTCGCCAGCTTCTTCGCGTATGGAGACGCCACAACCCTCTTCCCCCCTTCCGACGCTGGGTGTACGGACGATGCAGCCACCGCAGATTTCACCACCGATGGCGGAGTAGGGGCAGAATTAGCTGCCTCAACTTCCACCGATTTCTCCACTGCTGGCGGCGAATCAGAGATTGCGGCAGATGACGATGAAGAACTAGAGGCCTTTGATTTGGCTTGGTTGATTTCGTCTTCAGTTTCGGCGAGGAGAGCGATGGCGGATCCGACGGCGGCGACCCCGCCCTCTTCGACCATGATGGCGGCCAAGTAGCCGTCGTAGAAGGTCTCGACGTCCATGTCGGCCTTGTCAGACTCGACGACCACCACGCTCTCGCCCTTGGAGAGCTTGTCCCCCTCGGACTTGACCCACGACACGATCTTGCCCTCCGTCATCGTCGAGCTCAGAGCCGGCATGAAAATCTCTCTGATCTTCGCCTCAATTAGGGGTTTTCTAGTGGTGTGGAGCGAAGGGGAAGAAGGGATAGAGAGACGGCGAAGAGATGGAGAGGCTGGGATGAAGGAAGTGTGCAAAAGGTGAGCCATTGCTGAGCACTGGGTAGTGAGAGAGAGAGAAAGGGGGTGCTTTAGAGAGAGAAAGCGGGTTAGAGAGAGAGATACTTGTAGGAGGAAGAAGAGATGGTGGGTGTTGTTGATGAGTGAGGAAATGGGTTTTTCCTCGACTGCATCGAAACTGGGCGGAGGTCTCAACCACCTTACCGGTGAATGTGATGACGATTTATATTATAGACTTTTTTGTGCTCTTTTCGCTGCGAGACCACCACCAGTCTACCATTTATTCAATAGCTTTCATTTTTCATTTTTGCCCCTCCAATTTTTTATTTTGACTGAATTCCTATTCTTTTATCACACTGCTTTGTGTGAATGTTATTTTAATTGCTTTTACACGAAATTCATGGAATTCATATTTCAGACAATTTGTGTCGTGTGTTGGTGTTAGGGTGGTTGAAATTTTTTTTTTTTTTTTCTCCAGAAACTTGTTGTCATGATCAACTGACATAGTCTAGATGGTACTACAATTGATCATTTGTTCGCGGTTTGCTTGGACTTCTAGAAAAAACATATTAAAAAAAAAAAGCCAAGCTGAGGCTGATTATCCCTCCTCCAGCTTTACTCATTTTATTTTTGTTAAGTTTTAATATATATTTTTTGTAAATATTTTATGACAAATCAAACACTGAATTTTTTTTTTTTTTTTAATTTTACATCCAAAGAAAATAGTTAACAATAGGGATGCCAATAGGACAATTTTAAACTGGTGTACCTTCTCCCACAATCGTTTAGAAACCCTACTCAAAACCGCCTAAATGAGGGGTCTTTTCACTCATCCTCGCCCCATTTTACTTTTTCGCCCTGCAAGCACTTGCCCTGCCTTGTTTAGTTCCAGAATTTCTCCTCAGTCTTTAATTATTTTCCTCAAATACAATTATATAACTATTAAAAGCATTCATAAAAATGAGCAATTAATAATTTAATATAAAATTTAAGGGTACGAATGTTCTTAATTCGTAGGGCTCTTCCTAGGCACGGATTCCCCCACATAAAATTTTTATTATTATATTTTACACCTCTAAATTTATACTTTTTTGCATTTGTACTCATAAAATTTTGAAATTGCCCCACTGAAATTATAAAAAAAAAAAAACAAAAAAAAAACCCTCTATATAAATTTGTCCCCATATGAATTCCTAGATCCATCCTAGCCTCTGCCGCTCTCTAAAACGATTGAGAAAGTAAGTGAATGTGATATAAGGTTTATACAGCTAACTATATATACTAATAAAATAAAAATAATTTAATAATTTACCTACCTATACGGGACGGGGTGACCTCCCCTGCCCCCGCCCTGAACCCATAAGGATTTTAATTAATAAAAATAATTTCCGTTCAAAATAAGCTAAACGATCCCTCAAAACTACTATAAAAGGAGTGGGTGGGGCAAGTACCGTCCCGCGAGACAAATTGTCATCCCTAGTCAACAATTACTGATAATTTTTTTTTATTAATATGTCTTTTTATGATTGACTGGAACTATACATGAGATGGTGGTCCTAGAACTACCAAATAATTTTTTTTAATAATCTCTACATCCCACACGTATTGAGCAATTAAAAAATATATATATTCTGAAATGGTTCAAATGGAATTCAAACTCATAAACGGTAAAGTAAGAGTTTAGGGTCTTAAAATAAATGTTTTTTGTTTTTCCAAAATCATAATAACCTACCTTATTTGAAATATTAAGAAGTATAACTAGACTATAGTCTTAGACCTTTAAGCTTTCTATTTTAAAAATTAAAAAATAAAAAATTACCACTTATCCTCGGAGACTCAAGCTGAATAATATTTACTAGTCTACAAAATAAACCTAGAACTACACATATCATTTTAATTCTATATTTTCACACTCTATGAGAGTAGAATTTAGCGCTATACTTTTACACTCTATAAGAGTTGAATTTAGCGCGTTGGAGTTTATGGCTCAACCCTTGAGACTCTTAACCATTAGGCTACCGTGCGGGTTAAGTTGAATAATATTACTCCGTATTTGAGATGGGCTCGGACAAGCAAATACCAAAACTGGGTCGGGTCTTTTGCAGCCCATTTCATGTGGCATCATGCAACCCGTTTACATGAAGATCCATCATTAGTAATCAACAACATCCAATTTCAATTCCTGAATTCTCGAAGTCGTACCTATAGTAAAAACATACCGAGATACAGCCAATGGCCGACATGTTGGAAGCTGCTGTAGCAGCTCATGCTTACGCTCATCATCATCTCATTCCCGCCACCCCATCTCTTTCTCTTCCACTGAGAAATGCAATAATCAGAACAACAAGAAGGACATGGAAGCATAGAGCTGTTACTTCTTCCTCTTCGACCCAGAATCAAACAGTTGGTGGGCTATTCTTGCCAACCCAAATTGACAAACATAGAACCAATGGCAATGATGATAAGAAAGCAAAAACGAAAAGGGTCTTCTTCTTAGATGTTAACCCCCTTTGTTACAGAGGAAGCACCCCCAGCTTACACTCCTTCGCTCATTGGATTTCGCTTTTCTTCACTAGTGTCAGCCGCTCCGACCCTGTCATTGCTGTAATCTCTCTCTCTCTATATAGACACACACATCTATACACACACAATTGTTGATATATATGTACATACACCTGTAGCTTCGCTCTAGTGTTATCAGTGACCATGTTGTAAAGTGCAGGGCTTTGGAATGATATATCGGTTTCTTAAAATTTAGGGTACTATAATTGGTAATTATGGTATCTATGTTCAAAATGGAACCAGGATCCTCTCTTATGCCGTTTTCAGCCTGTTCTGTGCCTTTACATTGCTTATGTAACGACTATACCATGATGTTTCATTTCGAAATGTAGCTGTTGCATTGTGATGTAGTGCATTGTAATTGTTAAGTTTTAAAATACAGATATGTTTTTTTTTGTGGTTGTTTTGGTATGTAGGTTATTGATGGGGAAAATGGTAGCGAGTATCGCAGAATGTTATTACCTTCGTATAAAGCACATAGGAGGAAATTCTTGAGACAGTACTCTGCTTCACAAAGATTTTCAAGTGGTCATGTGGGAAGGTCACATCAACTCATTGCAGACGTTCTTCGAGATTTGAATGTGCCTGTGAGTGAACTCGCGCTCATTTGTTGTTTATGAGATGCTTTCTAGGTATTATGTGTGTGGTATAATGCCAGATTCTAGCTGAAGGTTAAGTATTCTGGAAGTCAACAATTTACAACACGTTTGATGCATAGCTCCAGACATTCTATAACCTTCAGCGAGAATATGGAATTCAGCTTAAACCAAATACTACTACAACAGAAAAAGTCTGAAACTAGCTTTCTCCTAAATAAAGTTCTTTATTTTTACCGTCAATCTATAAGGCCGTCTAACAGTGGTGTAAGCAGGAATTTTCTTTAGTGGGAGCAATCTTTAATAGCAATAATATATATATATATATATATATATATATATATATAATTTGAACCAAAACAATATATGTAAAAATTAAAAGATTGATTTATTATATTTCTATTCAGTACATTCATAACAATTTTTTCAGATTATTCATTGTTGTTTCAAAATTGAGTTCATTTAATTAAATATACTAAAAAAAATCATATTCAATGAATCAAGAATAAAACATGAAAAAGAAAATAACACAGTTACCAGTTCTAATATATCACATATGTAAAAATTTAAAAATAAAAATCCATGATAACAGTTAATCTGTGATTTCATTGATTTGGGTTGCAAATAAAAACAAATTCCAAGTGTTATTTAGAGAATAATAATTAGTAACATGATTACACAAACTAAATTTTGAAAGAACAAACAAGCCCTAAAATAATTTTGATAGTAATAACTAATAAATTTTCTAATTAAAATTATAATATGAAATAATAATCGTAAATTTATATAATAAAAAAAATAAAAATAAAATCAGATTACCAGTCTGTCGCACTACTATACGACATCTTTCCATATAAAATTTAAAAAATTTAAAAGTTGAGTGGGGCAATTGCCCCCACTTGTCCCTATGTGGCTATGCCACTGCCGTCTATAATGCCAATGTTCAACTATATAGAACTAACAGTGAATTGGTTTCAGTTGAGGACTTCCATATTAGTTTCCAAGACTGGAGTAAAGCTGCAATCCCGATTCACTGACACACTCAAAAAATGATAAAATGCATGATAACTTATGCAATTGACTAACAGAATGCAGTTTATTGGTTTGTGATAAGAACTGTTGAATGTGTATCTGTGACTGGAAATTGAAATTCTTTCATACACTGTATGTCACTTGAAAAACATTCAGAACTTATTTCTGCTCCATTTGGTTTCCAATATATGGTGGAAAAGAAATGGGAAAATGGAAAGAGAACTGAATTTAAACATCTGGGAATGGAAAGTAAGAGCACAACCTCAAACAATCTCTGTCAGAAGTCAACAAAACATTAGATTGTTTGAGTTTTAGTGCTCTCACTACAATTCCTTTCCCAAATGTAAAAATTTAGTTCTCTTTCCTTTTCCCATTTCTTTTCCGCCATATATTGGAAATCAAATGGAGCTGAAATAAGCTATGAATGTTTTTAAGTGACATACAGTGTATTAGAGAATTTTAAATTTCAGTCACAAATACACTTTCAGCAGTTCTTATCACAAACCAATAAACTGCATTTTGTTAGTCAATTGCATTAGGTATCATACATTTTCTCATTTTTTGAATGCAAACGTGGAATGAATTGCAGCTTTCCTCCAGTCTTGGAAACTAATTTGATGAAACTCCTCAACTGAAACATTTTACTGTTAGATCTATATAGTTGAACATGTGCATTGTAGGCAGCCTTATTGATTGGTGGTAGCGATTTTTAACGTAGTGTCCAAAAAAGAACTTCAGATTTGGAATCATTTAGGAGAAGCTAGTTTCAGACTTGTTTTAAGTACTAGTGTTTGGTCTAAGCTGAAAAGAGTAAGAAATTATTTACTTTTTGCATGGTGAGAAACGTTGTGGCTACTGAAGAACTGGCAGATTGGCAGGCATGACAGAAATCAGTGCATTGCTTTTCCACATTCTATTTATTTATTGATTTAAGCAAAGAGTGTCAATTCTGGGCCCAACATTCCACAACCATCTGGAATATCATTTTCCACTCATCATGATATTAATCACAAGCACAAGGATTAAGTATGTCGAATTGCTGATAAATTCAGTTTAGATTCAGTAAGTTCATTATTGAGAATAAGGTTTACTGCAGGTCGTAAAAATTGAAGGCCACGAAGCAGATGATGTTGTAGCCACACTTGTCGGTCAAGCTTTAGGAAGAGGATACCGAGTGGTTATTGGTTCTCCTGATAAAGATTTCAAGCAGCTAATTTCTGACGATGTTCAAATTGTTATGCCCATGCCTGAACTTAACCGTTGGTCCTTTTACACGCTGAAGCATTACATAGCTCAGTACAATTGCGATCCATGCTCTGATTTGAGTCTTAGTAAGTATGTGATATTCTGTTGGATTTTCATTCTAAATTCAATTATATAATTTCCAAAACTTAGCGTGTGCTGCATGTATATGAATTAGATTGATGATAAGAAGTAAATCTTTTTTTTCTTATTACTGAGCTATCAAGGATCTTATAAAAATGGTCAGAAAAACTGTGTGTCATCTATTGCTACCTGTTGATTTTTTTATTTTTTATTTACTATTATTATTATTTTTTTGGGTGGGTGAGGGAGTGGGAGAAGGGGATTTAAGATGGGATATCATAATACAAGAGGCAAAGAGAGGGCTGAAAGCATTACAGAAGAAGGAAATAACAAATGAAAAAGGGAAAAGGGATGTCTTTAAAGAGCTGGTACGGAACCCTGTCAGCACAGGTTCCGTTACTCAAGTTTTCAATCTTCTCATGTTATTCTATTGGCATTCAGCTTATGAGGTATTTTTCTTGTTTTCTTTCCTTATTACATTGGAGTTAGTGGTCTACATGCTTTCTTGTATGGCCTGCATTGTTCTAGCTGTTGTCTTATTGTATATCCTGGTGGTATGTGGTGTGATTAGCCTATTGTGAGTTACTGTTCAAATGTTTGGAAGGCTGTATAGAAGTGTTTGCATTAGTTGGAAGGGGATGCTAGGTTAGGCCTTGGCATTGTGAGTCGCTGGTCAAATGTTTGGAAGGCTGTATAGAAGTGTTTGCATTAGTTGGAAGGGGATGCTAGGTTAGGCCTTGGCAGTTCCCTTAGCTGGTCTTTGCTCTAAAAGCATGTACCCCCAGTGCCCCTCTTACCTTTGTAGAAAGTCCTTAAGTTTTAGTCTCTACCATACAATCTTACTTATCGGGAACAAATGTTTTTCTTTCTTTCATTCTTTCGTATACTTGTTTATTTCTTGTACATTCAAAATTGTTTCACACTTTCCTAGAAAATACACAAAAACAATTTCATGATTCTCACACTTTTTGTCCCAGTTGGCTTTAATGTATTTCATATTCCTCTCAACCTTTTTAAATGAAGGTGTGATTGTGTAGGGTGTATCATGGGTGATGAAGTTGATGGTGTTCCTGGGATTCAGCATGTGGTTCCTGGTTTTGGTCGGAAGACAGCGCTAAAGCTTATAAGGAAGCATGGATCACTGGAAAATTTACTAAATGCAGCAGCAGTGAGATCTGTTGGCAGACAGTATGCACAAGACGCCCTTATTAAATATGCAGATTACCTGCGAAGGAATCGCGAAGTTCTTGCCCTGAGGAGGTAATGTTTTTCCCCGTGGTTCATTGTACAGTAGAACCTTGGGATTTACTTTTTTTCCAACCCATTTGAATTATACCATTATTCGAACCTAAGACCTGTTGGGAATTTAAACATTGCTACCAACAAGCTAGGGAACAAAGTGGTCACAGGAACTACTTTAATAGTGTCTTTTTGTAGCTGCTTCCATATAATGTTCTTTGCTAACAAAATCATACAGAGATGTTAATGTTCATCTTCAAGAGGAGTGGTTGTCTGAGAGAAACATCTGCAATGATATGGTGGTTTTATCGAACTTCATGAGATTGCTGGGAGAAACTCATAAGCTCAATTAGCGAAATAGATCTCATTCTTCAAATGGTTAAGCTCCAAAATGTAAGTGTTTTCAACTATTCAAATAGATGATTGAAGACAACCTTTTTTGGGAGTTAGTAGTATTTTACTAGTTTGGTTCCTAGTCTTCCTAAATTTGAAATTCGTGCTACCTTTTACTTAACATGTGTCATGATGCATTTCGAATTATTTATGGGCTCTACTGTTCTTGGATTATACAAATTCATAATAAGGTTTAAAAGCTGTGCAATCAATCCTTGCTTGCCCCATAGATCATTTAAATTAGATGGACAAACAATATCCGGTGCTGCTGTAATCAGATATGAAAAATATTTTATTTTTACTTTGAGACTCTTGTGGCTTAATTATTATCACTCTTCTACAGGCGCGCTCAAGGATGTATATGTGTTTGACTAGACATTCACAACTAGGTAAGTAAAACTTTTTCTAGAATGTGGAAGCTGCTGTTATATCTGAACTAAATCTGGTTAGTTTACTGTCTGCAGATGGTAAATAATATGCTTGATAATCAAGTCTTCTGAAACATTTCCCGATGAAACATCTTTAACATCAGTGCTTTCTAGCTGAGAGCTGATATTTCTTGGATCACAGAGTATGGAATAAAAACAAATGGCTTGTAGAACCTCAAGGGCTCATTACGCGCATTCCACTGTGAGTAACAGCTGCCCTTGTTTTTATACACTCTCTCTCTCTTTTTTCTCTCTTATTAGATCCTTGTTACACTGCAGTGAAGAATTAAACTTCCATGGGACATGGTGACTGGGAATGTTATCAGACATTATTCTGGTTCCATAAGGACTGGCTCGGGTTTGGTTAGACCGGTCAGGAGAACGAGAACTGCGGTTCCACACATGGATTTGATTTGGTATTGTATTTATTTTTCGAACTCAAATTATTAAAAGCAATGTCAGAGAAATGAAGCTTCAGAAACAGTTGTGCACTAGTGTCGTTCTTAAGTTGTTTTGGAATGGCTAAAGCATCACTTTGGGCTTGGTCCGAAACAGTTATGTGTTTTTGCCTTTCTGAACCTCATGGAGATGGAATGTTGAAACCAGGCCACTTGATGATTCAAAGAAATCAATTGGAATCAAGAGCGAGTTGGAGAAAATTGTTTATGGTTTTAAAGAATCCAGCAAAAATAACTAGAGGATAATGGGATGGCAAACTTTGGATGAACATAGGTTTTTTTTTTTTTTTTTTTTTTTTTAATAGAAAAAAAAGATATAAATTGACAGGATCCCACTCCCGACTCACCTGTGTGAGCTCTATCATATTGGGTAGTCAGTAGCCCACACATGACTTTGTGAGAAGTTGGAAGAACCGACTTTCGTTAAATATAGTAGCACTCTTGTTCTTTCAGCATTGTTTACACAAAGTGATTGTCTCTACGTTCGGGCATTACCTAATTACCTAGTTGGTAGAGTGCCCTCTGGTGTGCCAATATTTGAGTTCTTCTTTCCTAATTTATGGGGTTAAAAAACATAAATGAATAAATAAAATTGCCCTAGTGCTCGAATACAATGCTCTTGTAATCAGTGGTGCTTGGGGATGGGATAAATAGTTTTCATAAATTCTTATTTAAATTAGCCCATTTTTAATATAAAAATTGATAATTTTTAATATAAAAATTGAGTTCAAAAAAAAAAAAAAAAAGTTATGTCAAAGTACTTCAATAAAAAATAAAAAATATTCAAAAATGAAACTTGAATTTGGTATCATTTATGTAACACGGATACATTAATTTTTTTTAAAAAAAATAAGATAAGAGTACGATTTGGACATAACTATGTATAATTATAAATATTTATTTATATACATGTATTGAGTAATAGTATTATAAAATTATAATTCATTTCTAATTTTTATACTAAGAGTCCTAATAACTTTTATATCATATATATATATATATATATATATATATATATATATAGTTATTTTATTACTTTGTCATAATAGTGTTTTTATTTTAAATGAACAAATATTATTTAATATTTCACTTGTGATTATATGTGTATAATATCAATTTTCTTAAAAGAAAAAAGTTGAACACTTTAGATTGTGGTCATATTATTTTCAAGATTATTGGGTAAACTTGCATTAGATATGTGTTTCAAAGTGTTGGCCTAAGTGTCCAAGAAGTGTTTGGAAACGTCGAAAAAGCGTCCAAAATAATAAAATTTATTTTATATTATAAAGTGTCGAATACGTGTATGAGGAGAGTCCGACAAGTGTCGATATCCAATATGGAGGACACACAAACACAACTCCTTCGTAGAAGTATCCGTGCTTTCAAAGGGTAAAATATAAAAATTTAACTAAAACTCGGAGCTATCTAAACGAATTTTGACATTATTTTTTTTTTTTCGAATGGTATTTTGACACTATAATTCTCAGACCATTCTCATGCATTTCAAATCCTTTTTCAAAATATAATCACGTTAAGAAAGTAATTAGCTCATTAGTGAGGTGTGTTGTAACGAGGTGCATTCATTGTAATATTCTCTCATATTATTTTTCTTCTTTTATTTTATTTTGTGGAAAACAATTTAGGCATTGAACCGGCCAGTCCGGTCCAGGGATTCAAACAGTATTGTATTATGTATATTTGTATTTGTACAAAAAAGACAGATAAACTAATCTTGACTACCCAGATACTCTTATCTCTTCACACAGAAACACGGAACCAACCCAGAGAAAAAATGATCATAGTGAACAAAATCCCGATTTTACAGTTCTCAGAGAACTAAATAGATTTCACAGTTGATGCTTCTCGAACTCGAACGCTTTACTTCTACTGCAAAAAAAAAACCTAGAAGAAAATGGCTCTCCAATCCACCATTTCATCTCCTCTGCAACACTCACCACTTGTGTCTCACAGTTCCATCGTCGTTCGAACCATTAGAAGCCCTAAAAAAAATCATATTTTATGCTCAATCTCCGATTTCCCAGCTGCAAATCACGAGCCAAGAAGACCCATAAAGCTCTCTCTTCAGGTAACTGACTCCTATGCGTAGTAAGTTCATGTGTTTGCATATTTTTCTTTATTTTGGCTTATGGGTTCTTGGTAGTGATGCTAGAATTGAGTCATTTGGTTGGTTATGTTCTAAATTGTGCTATTTTCAGTATAATTTAGTTTAGAATTTTCTAGGTCCTTATACTTGTGCTGTTAACTTATGTGCCTTTTGGAATTTTTTGTTTTAATCTTGCGCTTAGTGGGTTGTTTCGAGCAAATACCAACCATGTTGAATTGGGTTTAAGAATCGATTTTACTCATTGTAAGTTGCTTCCAAGTTTCTGTTTGGCTATTGGAAAGAGTGAGGAAAGGACATGGAAAATTCATACTTTTCTTTATTTTAGATTATTGGTTTTTGGTAGTGATGCTAGAATTTGAGTCATTAATTGGTTCTGTTCTAAATTGTGTAGAATTTCGATATTTTCAGTACAATCTAGTTTACAATTCTCTAGGTCCGTTTGCTTGTGCTTTTAATTTATGCGTCTTTTGGAATTTTTAGTTTAAATCTTTCGTTTTATTGGTTGTTTTGAACATATATCAAGCATGTTGAATTGGGTTCAAGAATCTATTTTCTTTGTTGTCTTGCTTCCAAGCTTCTGTTTGGCTATTGGAAAGAGTGAGGAAAGGACATGAAAAATGCTTGAAAGTGTATTTGTGTAAGGGTGTGGTTGGGTGCTCCTCTTGAATCTGAATTTCCCATCGGCAACTTACAAGGCATTTCAGTGTAATAGCATACATTTTGAATATGTCCATAGGAGCAAATGATAACCATCTATCAAAGATGTTAATTTTTTTTTAATTATTTTCATTTCTAGGAAACGTAAAAGCAAGACATGCCATGAAATATGGTGAAGTCCTTAATGGTCCCATTTTTTTGTGATGAAACTTGAATTCTGTTTGAGCATCAGAGGGTTCATTATAGTTCCTTTTTATATGCAGTTGCTAACTTTATCTTTTATCACTATGAATGTAGATATTTGGAAGGGAAGTGGCAACAGGGATGCCTTTGACCTCAACAAAACTCGAGGGTAATTCTCTTTCTCAATTTGCATTTATTTATTTATAATTGATCCTAGTGTTGTAATTACTAGAGATAATACAATTCAGTGTCTCTCTTTCTGTGTGTGCTTGGTGTGGGGTGGGGGGTTAAGGTAGATCAATCTGCAATCCAACCATGAATCTGATTCACACTTTCAGCCATGTACTGGCTGGGTGCCACGGTGACTGTTGTTATTAATGCCCTACAGAGTGAATCTTGGGACTGAATTCCATTTATGGAGTGAATTAATCTGATAATTTTCCAAGAAAAAGATATTTGTTTAATATTTGAGCACAATATTTTGGTTATCCTCAGCGGAAGCCTCTCTGCTTTTTTGTCACTTCATTAGCCAATAGAAGGAGGTTGTTCATGCTGAGTAAGGATCTATCTTTCTTCCTTGAGAGGTCTTAGCCTCTGGCTATCTTATTAGCATGCTCTCTCTCTCTCCCTTTCTCTAATTTTCTCTCTTTCCATCGTGTAACTTCTGCACATGTGAATAATTTATATTAAAAACTCATAAAGTCGACGTCATCCTCCTGTTGCAGAACTCTCGTGGAGCCCTTTGATTAATGAAGATAGTGTAGATGTGAAAAGGCCATTAATTTGTATATCTGCTTTCTCATGTGGAGCAATCTCATTATTTACATCTGCACAAGTGGCACAAGCAAGTGTTGATGTCAAAATAAATGAGGTTTATGAGATTGGGGAGTTATTTGAATTGGGAATCCAGCTCTCCTACCTTCTTTTACTGTTAGGCTTGCTCGGGGTTGGAAGCTTCTTCGTGATTCGTCAAGTCCTTGTCCGTAGAGAACTTGACCTCTCCGCAAAAGAATTGCAAGTAAGAACCTGTATTTCTTTCCTTTTTGTGGAAGAGTTATCGACCTGTATTATTTTTGGTTGCATATCTTTAAATTGACTAAGATATGCTGTCTGCAAATTATATTTTCCAACTACTGTGTTAACAAAGATGGTGTTGAAGTAATTTTTGGAATTGAGGATTGCATAATGGTAAATATGCATTTTTTTAATTTTGTGATATTAGTTATTAACGTCTAAGAAATTGGCAAGTATTTTGTTCCTATTTCTTGTTGCGGTTGCTTATATTGTTCGAGAGATTGTCTACTTTATGTATCTTGAACATTTGCCCATCTGAGATAATAATATTCAAGTAAAATTTGGACTGAAGGATTGCATTATAGTAAATGACATACTTCAAATTTGTAATATGAAACTTGTAATAAACTCCTAGAAATTCATAAGTATTTGTGATAATTTTTTCTGTAGTTGCTTATATTTGTTTGATAGGTTCTACTCTCTAGTCTCTTGTTTGTATAATATTTTCCCTAGTGAAAACTTGATACACATGCCAAATGTATCTTTAGGAATTTCATTTTTATTTACTTTTTCCCTTTATATTCTCTATTCATTAATCTGTTGCATTTAGTAGTACGGGGTAGCATACTTAATAATTTTTATATAAATAAGAAGAGCATATTTTAGTAGAGAAGAGTCTCAATGTAGACATCAGGAGTGGAGGCAGGCAAGGCCCACAGGGGACAGCTGCCCCCACCCCCCAAATTTTTTTTCTTCTTATTTTATATCTATAGTTTTATAAATTTTACAAAATCCCCCCTAGATTATTGGATTATGAGACTTGAGCTCTAAATTTTGTTTTTGTTCTGTTATATAATTTTCTTCCATTACCCCTCTATTATTTTGATGATAACTGTATTGTGTGCTTGTTGTTGGGATATGTTATTCTATAGATTTATATACTTTATTGTTCATAGTTTGGAAGACGTATGTTAATTTAGATGCCATCTTTTTCTTGAATATTAAATATAACATGCTATTAAAAAATTTCATTTTTGAATACTTTTTATCCTACCCTACTGTTATTCCAGACCGCACCCATGTTTCTAATTAACAAAATTGAAAACTTCATCAATGCGAACCAAAACGCAGGTTTGCAACCCAGAAAACCTAAGCTAATTTTAATCTTATGCTGATTTTCGGATTGATTTGTGGTTCATATATGCATGTGAATTGTAACTCGTCCTTGAGTTTTCAAGAAATCCTCATATGATAAGTTGCTACTGCTTGCAGTGTATGCTTTCTCCTCATATATGTATGCTAATGTATTTTTATTGCTCCCATGTTGAATTAACTGCATGTGTTATTAGAGCCAAAATGAAGACTCGATATTGGTTTTATAAAATTGTCAAAGGCACTCATTTCTTTCATGTCAAGTATTTTTTTTTTAATAAAAATTTTTCATATTATGATATCCTCTACTTCAGTGGATATTGGACAATGGTATGTCTGCAATATGCTAACTCTCTCTCTCTGGGCACTTTCGTTCTTTCTGTTCTTTATTTTTTAAAAAATAAATCTCAGGAGCAGGTAAGAAGTGGTGATGCTACTGCCACTGGGTTGTTTGAACTTGGAGCAGTGATGTTGAGGAGAAAATTTTATCCAGCTGCTACTAAGTTCTTGCTTCAGGCGATTGAGAAATGGGATGGAGATGATCAGGATCTTGCTCAAGTATGTTACTCTTTGACTTTGATATCAGAATATGATAGCCTTAGGTAATTGTATTTTGTGCATATTGTGACTTCTAATCCATCAATAACTAAATTTAGCCATTCTAGTATGAAGAATATTATATTCCTAGCAGTCAGGGCTGTAACTGGATGATCAGGTAATTAAACAATTCTTGGCTGTGATCAATGGATAATTTTCTGATATGCATCAACAGACCTGCTCAATTTTGTGATTTGCATCAACAGACCTGCTCAATTTTGTGCCATCTACCTGCAGTAATGGGCTTATTGCCAATTCATCGTCAATCTTATTTGTACTCTTGAAGAATCATCTTTCTGGTTCGATCAATCTGGGCAAACCCAGGTGTAAATGTACACTTTAGCCACTCAGTCTTGCTTTGTGATATCCTTATAGACATTAATCTTAGCCGTCATGCAAACTTGATTTATAGTTCTATGAACATGTGCATTCTGTCTTGATCTAACTTTATTTAAACTAACACTGTGATGTGTTCTAAAATATAGGTTTGTTTTTTAAGTCGTAAGTTCCATAATCCTACACCATACAACTCAACTCAAAAAAACCTTTGAATTCCAGTCGTGGGGTTTGCCGCAAATTCAACTTTATTAAGATTGTTGACTCATGGGACTTCTTCATTTGCGGCAAATCCGACATGATTGGAATTCAAAGATTTTCTGAGCCTGCACAAAATGTGACTTTTGAGACCAATGTACAAAATTAAAAATCAACACGCCCACTAGATTGGAAGTAGTACTAATTAGAGATAAATGAGAGATACAACTCAGATGGTTTGAGCATTTGCTTTGAAGATTAATGATTGTGCCAATTATGAAAAATGATGTAATCCACTTTGAGGGTGTCGTTAGGGCAGAGGAAGGCCAAAATCGTTATGGGTTGAGGTAATAATGGAACACATGGTAACCTTTGGTTTGAATGGAATTTTGGTTTTATATTCTATGAAAAGAAATTATGGCCCTGTAAACACAAGAATTGTGAAACAAAATTCTTATCTAAGGCCAAATAGTAGGATAAGGCTCCGTTAAGTTGTGCATGTTCAATCAAAATTTATATTCTTGCTTCTTGCCATGGTTTATGTTTTGGTTTCCTTGTTTTTTTCCCCTAAACTTGTTAGTTTGCACAGATAGATCCTTTCCACATTACTCTTTTTTCCCATTTAGTAATTAAGAAAAAGATCTGAATTATGTCTGAAAATGAGAAATGCTATAAAAAAAATAATAATAAAAGACACAATTCGCGTTCTCTGTTTCCTCCTGATGGGAGTTTCCGTGACTTTAATTTCTGATATATATTCTTCTCCTCAAATATTTTAACAGGTTTACAATGCCCTTGGTGTCAGTTATGTCCGTGACGGGAAGCTTGAAAAGGGAATACTTCAGTTTGAGAATGCTGTGAAGCTTCAACCAGGCTATGTCACAGCCTGGAACAACCTCGGTGATGCCTACGATAAGAAGAAAGACATCAAGTCTGCTCTCAAGGCATTTGAAGAAGTCCTGCTTTTTGATCCAAACAACAAGGTGGCACGACCTCGTCGAGATGCTTTAAAGGACAAAGTACAGATGTACAAAGGAGTTCCCACTCTAAAATCGAAGCAGAGATAATTTGTGCAGCATGCTGAATTTTGACACTTTCTTCATATTCCATTCTGCTTTAACCATGACTTTATTAGATCTTACACATATCAAGAACTCCAGGTGACTCGAGACGGGATTTGAATGGTAAACAAATGACTAAATGTTCGTGAGTTTGATTGTATTGTGGGTGTAAAGGAAATTTTTTTTATCATCTTGTTTAATAGAACATCAAAAAGGGGCTTATGTTTATTTCATTTGAAGAAGCCTGCATGCCATTCATTTTCATGATTCTTTCCACATAGAAAAGCTAAATTGCAGTTATCCAATGTTTCCAAATTTGCAACTCTTCTTTAGGTTGTTGGCTAGGTGTTTTTTGTGGAGCAGGTATTTGGTGCCATTTGTGCAGGTGCATGCTGGCATAGACGGCTACGATGTGCCCAGTGCATGGTACATAGGACACAACATGTATTTTCCCCTTTTTGAGATCATTTCCAATGCTCTTCTGTAAAAAAAGAAAATGATTTGATAACATAATCAATTTATAAAGGATTATAAGTTTATAACACGCTTGCAGATAGAATTTTAGCAAAAAAATCTTGTCTTCCATAGATTTTATTTTTCCACTTTTTTCCTTTTCAAATGGACCATCAAGCAAGGTGTGGGAAAGTGCTATAATAACCTATCCAAAAATGCAACGGCTACTAATTAAACAACATAGTCGTCACATTCTCAACAGAGCATTTGGTTAGCATGAACTTTTTATAAGAAATTTGTAATATTGTTTCATTAGTGGAGAGTTTTTTTTTAGTTAACTCGAGGTGTCCGGGATGACATGAACCCTTAGACTCCTCAACAACCCGATTAATCTCCGAGGACTCGGAAAGGCGCCTCTCCATCCGAGCCGGGTAAGTCACTGCAGAGGCAGCAAATGTTAGCCACAAAGAATACTCAGCAGGAGTCGAACTCAGACCTTGAATTTGCTAAGCACCAACGTCCAGCGAGTAAATCGCTGGACCATATTCGAAGTGAATAAAAACAAATGATGGACATTTCACAACTATCTTGATGAATTCTATACTAATAAATATATGCATCATGCAAAAGGCACAAAATAATAATAATAATAATAATAATAATAATAATAATATATAATATATATGATTGGGTTTATACATGCGTACATATATTCGATCAAATACATATTTAGTATTTTTTTTTTAAAGTTTGCATTATAAATTAGGACTAGTTATTAATTCGCTTACTTCTTTGTGATTATGAAAAAAAGCCTTAATTTAAAGGTAAGGAAATTGTAACCTAACAGGAGTCCTAATTTATCAGTGAAGAAAGCTCACTTCTTTTGTGAGACTTGATAAGAAAGATGAGGGCATAATATAATTATACAACTTTTATCGGAAAATAAAATTTTTGCGTATTTTATGAATGAAACATTTGGAAGAAAATCAACTACGGGAATCTTACTTTCTCAAAAACTTTCCTATTCATGCTAACCAAACATCTAATTTTTAATTTTTTTTTATAGTTAATGCTAACCAAACTAAGCGTAAATTGACTCGATCATCATGCTAATTTTAAAAACAAATATGTAACATTAAAAACAATTTAAAAAAAACAAATAGCAATAGCTTTTAATATTGTTCGTGTTTGTGTGACACGTATATTTTAAAAAATATATGTTTCTAAGTAGTTTTTCTTTACTGATTCTCAAGTTAATTATTATTATTTTAATTTTTGGGCAAAGCATTTTATGTGTGCATATGTCAAAAGTAAGACAAATTTGCGGTACATTTATTATCCCATGTCATGGAAATTTTAATTGAATTATAGCATTTTAGTTTTAAAAGTTATTGAATTTCTTTGATGGAATAGGGGAGAGAGAGATAGGGGATTAGTGGGGTGGGAGTGACTTTATTTTGGCGGTTTAGGCTTTCATCCAATGAATCCAGCTTGCACACATGTTCGAGCTGGATCCATTGGGTGTGGTACAGTCCAATCACATAGGATTCCATTCGGGGTGGTCACGTGATTAAAAAGGCCTTTTATATATATATATATAAATTTAGTATAACATCCTGCTTAATTGTAAAAAGTTACGTCTCGCAAAGAACACGTGTATAAAGAAAATTTCTGCAGCGGTTTGAAAAGAGTATAGGGTAAAGAGTTTTAGAGTTTTTCGAAATTATGTAGGGAATTGTAAAATATATTAGAGAAAGTTGCAAGGTTCTAGAATGTCGGAAATCTTGTAAATAAATAGTTGTAGGGAAGTAAAGAATATCAAGAATGGTAGAGAGTTTTGTAGGGTATAATTAAGTAGGTGATTAATGTGAAAATTTTGGAAGGATGCTATAAATAGGTGATAGTGTCATTTGTGCTTGAAGTGAGAGAGTCTCACATATATATATATATATCCTCTTTGCAGTCAATCACAAGCATACCATGCTCATATCTAAAAACTTTGCATTCGGGAATCTCAAAAAGGAGCATTAAAAAATTACAAGATATATTTTCATAATGTCTAGTTTGGGTTAACTACTACTTTTTGTAAATCTTGAGGGACAAGAAATATTTTCCTAAAGCATATATTTTCATAATGTCTAGTTTGGGTTAACTACTACTTTTTGTAAATCTTGAGGGACAAGAAATATTTTCCTAAAGCTAGTTTGGGTTAACTACTACTTTTTGTAAATCTTGAGTTCACTTGGCATATTCCAGTTCTTTGTCCCTACCACTTAGACACGCCATCAGCATGCTTGGCCTTGCCACGCCGGCCCTCCATTTTCATGTGCTTCAGCACATGCACTTGACTACGGTGGCTACAACAAATAAAAACTTCTGGTGCGCAAGTGTGCAAGCGATGTGTTTGTTGACAATACTTCATAAATTTTGTTTCTAATTTATGTTCTTAATAATTATTTGTTTGTAGGAATGTTTTATAAATTTTGTTTCCGATCAATCTCTGTTTCGATTGATTGATGTGCATGTTTGATATTTTCGTTTCCACATCTCGTTCTGAAAGTTCAATCAGTCAAAATTTGATAAAGTTTGTGTGATTTGTTTAATCCAAAAGTATTATTTGTAGCTAATTTTAAAATTAAAAATATATATTCTTACAATGTGCCGCGGTGATTTGAGAATATATATATATAATTTTTTCTCTTGGTCGCAAATGAATTATTTATCAACACAGATTCCATGATTCATGGTAGCAGATCCCAAGTTAATTGCACTCTCAAAGTTCTAGCTACATCATTAAAGAGAACAAGATTTAGAAAATAGTAAAGTGATAAAGTTGAAAAATTAAAGAGAACAAGATTTAGAAAATAATAAAGTGATAAAGTTGAAAATTTATAAGTAAGAAAAAAAAATAGAACAAAGGATGTTTTTTAGAATATGTATACATAGTGGTAGAGTATCTCCAATCGTTAGTGTATATGTTTTTTTGTGATCTCCAACAATTGTGTATATTTTTTTGTGATGTAAATCTGATGTGTCATAATAAATTTACACAAAATTTATTTTTAGCTACACCGGTTGCTTTATACCTTTTGTGTAAAAATATATCTCCTAATAACAATCAACCAGTATCATGCCTGGACTCCACATAATTTTTACAAACCTACTTAATATAGGTTGATTAGTTAATGTAATGAGAAAGAGGAAGGATAAAGGAAATATGTTGATGTGGATGTGTAAAAAAGTTATATAAAATATACAATAATTTTACATATTGATGATGTGGTAATGTATCTTAATAGATTATCGAAGATACAAAAAAAATTACACCTCATACGTGACAGTGTAAATTTTATATAAAAGAATATTTTAACAGACTGTTCAAGATGTTTATCAAAATTTTATTATGGAGTTTTAATCAGCATATTTTTTAGTTGTTATTTGCACGTGTTTTGTAATTTACAGATCGTTTGTCAAGCTCGCATTCCTCTTTATTGATCTTGGTTTCATAAAGTTTAAGCAGAATAAACTGCAAAAATTAGATTGCTACTAGGATTATGACAAACGGATTTTGTTAATGTAATCTTTGACGCATCAGAATCATTTCGCTAGTTGAAAAATAATGGTACAACTTACTTATAACAACATATATATATATATATATATATATATATATATATAGTAATGAATTTGGGGTATGGTTGGTTGCGGGCAGCTTATGAATTCCTCAGTGTTCTACATTCTAGTCCATTTATTCATGGCCAAAAGAAGGTGCAAATCATGTTCATAATCTTTTAGTTTGCTGCTCAACTTTAACTTGTAGTTGTACATATATAGAAGTATGCATACAGCAATTTAAATACATAATTTTATAGAATATTAGTAAATTAATTATGCACATGTATGTTGATTCTCATTTTGAATTTTCGTTATATCATTTTAAAGCAATTTAAATACATAATTTTATAGAATATTATGTATAATGAATTTTTGTTATACATAATTTTATAGAATATTAGCAAAAAAAAAAAAAATTCCTGATCAAATAAATAAATATATAGTAATCAAGAAGGAGGATTGCAATGCAAGAGAGACAATGGGAGTGTTAGTCTCCAAAATTGGAGTAAATGTGCTTTTTTTCCTCTCCCTGGAGTAGTAGAATCTTCAAGCTGGTTATATGTAATGGGTGGGCACTTGTCCATTTACCCAAAAACTTAAATTATTGGGTAGTGCTGTATACCCCACCCATTTATACCTAATCACTTTCCCATCCGATTTCGATGTTAGACAAATGACCCTTGTTACATACTCCTCCACCCAAACTTGCAACGTCCTCGTTGCGGTTCGGGCCATCCTGCCTACCCGGGTGCTTGGCGTGACATCGGATCAAGGACTGAGTCTAACTCTAATACCAACTGTAACGGGTAGACACTTACCCATTTACCCAAAAGTTCAAACTATTGGGTAGTACTGCATGCCCACCCATTTATACCCAATCACTTTCCCATTCGATTCCGATGTGGGACAAATGACCCTTATTACACTATGACATATTTGGGCTAGGAAGTTGGGTCCGAGATGGCTTGTAAAGCCCATTACAGTAAACCATACCTAGGGATGGCAATGGGGCGGGATGGGGCAGGGATCTCATTCCTCATCCCCATCCCCATCCCCGGTCAAATTTTTTACCCCCATCCCCTCCCCACCCTGCTACATTAGCCCCCGTTCCCGGCCCGCATAACTTTTTTAAAATTCCAATTCACCTTCAACAAAATCAACACAATTATAAAATTTTTCAACCTAATAATTTAATAAAACTGCAGCACAATTATAACAATTTAAAATATATCATTTCAACCCGATCAAAATTATAGCAAAACCACATATAATATTTTTTGGAATAGTCTGGAAATTTTCAACATGATCAATCAAAATAAATAACATTCTTCTAACAATGACTATGATGTGAGGAAATAGATTTAGGGTTTCAAAAGTGAATATATTATATATATAGTTATTTAATTTAGTAATATTTTATAACATGTAATGGCAGTTTTGTAAAAATACATTATAAACGGGGTAGGAGGGGCAGGGTTACCCTCCCTCAGCCCCGCCCCGTCCCCAGCCGTAAATACAATCCCCATCCCCTCTCCATTTACATAAATGGGTCTCCAAACCTGCCATAGCAGGGGCGGGGTGGGGCGGGACCCGCCAGGTATGGAGATTTTATCAAAGATTAGGCTTGCCTATAGTGTTAACAATAATATAAGTAGAGTTTGGGCTGACAACACCCCTACAAAGTGGACCAGATTTTTGACAATGAAGTAGAATTTGGGTTGGGCTCGATTACCCAACACACCAAATGAGCCAACCGGATCTGAGACCAGGTTGAAAATTCTCAACCTAAACCCAATCCAAACTATGATGATATATTCTTACAAGTAGCATAATTTGGTAAGAAAATAGAGGGTTAAATAGTCTTTTACTTTGACATGATTTTTTATATTAAAATATTATTAAATCAGATAAGAATATAAAAGATATTTTATGGTACAGTCCAATTAATAAACCTTAAATGCACTAGTTAAGTATAATTTAATAAAACCTCAAGAGAGGTCTATATGTAATTTACCCTACCTACAAAAAATAAATAAAAAAATAAAAAAACCCACCTTCAAATTTGTTTCCTCGACGTAGACTAATAGATCCATCAAAAACACTTTCCATCAGACATTCATTTTTCATTGTGTGAGTTACTCATCAAAGAAGACCAAGTCAATAGATTCGTTTTCCTTCACAAAACCCCAACATGAAGTTTAAAGATTAGGGCATATATATATAACACATGCAAAATTGAAAAGTGAGTAAAAATTTATCAATGTCAGCCCAACAATATACACTCGAATTTTTCAAAGAGAAATTAAAGGTTCCAATCTATATGTTATGAGTTAGTATAAGAGAGAGAAAGAATTAAGATTTCTTTGCCTGAGTTTTATGAACTTTTTGTTTTAAGAAGCCTGATGTGGGACTAAGCCTCGTCAAATTTGGTGATAAAAGCTCGGTCATGAATAATGTGCGAAAAATATTTGACATGAAACGACCCATTTAGCAAACAGTATGTGCTATTCGGGTCAATTTAAACAGTCAATTAAATATGAGATGAAAAACAGACCCAAATCCATTAATTTCATTTTTTATTTTTTATTTTTTTTAAATCAATCCTTTTTCGTTTAGAAATTGATGTCGGATGAAAAACTGACACTGATAGACTCCATCATCACGATGACTCCATCTTTCTCTCTCTATAAATGTGTGTATATAATAACAGAGAAGGCTGAATCACAAAACCCTTGCCCTAACTTGGAACTCTACACTCTTCAAAGAATACAATGGTGAAAGACAAGCAGTTAGCCATAGAAAATTTCAGAGCAGCTATTCTCAGAATCGCAAGCTCTGACCCAACCAAACCCTTACCGGACGCCCGAAAAACCCTCATCGATAAACGCATTCGGCAATTCTTCACCAACCATCGCACTCCCGATCATCCCACCTACCCTGCGGTAATCAACTATCTATCTTTATATATATATATATATAAATATGCATACACGTGAATAATGAAATTTGGTACTTTTAGCTCCATTACTCTATCATACTTAGTTTTAGTTTTTTAGGGTTTATGATGTGGGAATTGGAAGGTCAGTGCTTGTTAGTCTGCATATATAAGACTGTTTAAATGTTTGTATTTTTCATTTTTCATTTTTGTTTTTTTATATGCATTATTTTATACTTTATGAGTAGAATACTTGATCAATTGTAAATACACTGCATCACTGGTTTCTGATGATACCATACGTGTGTGATAAAAGAATGCATATGCATGTTTGCTATAATTATTCTACTTTTGTTTGTTAATAGGCAGATCTATAATCTGGTTCTTTTTCTCCAATTGACATGGCATTGGGACACTGGACCAAGCAAAATTCCCTAGAAGATGCTTAAAGAGGACCGAAGTTTACATATATATATATATATATATATATATATATATATATATACATACATATATGTTGCTTTTGGTGTATATGAACTAAACATTGATTTGTTTGTTTGTGCGCATCTCAATTGACGAGATTCTGATTTTGGGTGGTGTCATGTGGTGCAGATGATACATAGGGCAATTGAGGAGTTGAATGAGGAAGATGGTTGTAGTGAAGAGTCCATTTCTAATTTTATTAGAAAGGAGTACAAGGATTTGCCATGGGCGCATTCCACGATCCTGAATCATCATCTGGAGAAGCTTTGTAAGAGTGGGGAGATTGTTTCGACTCTTCAAAATTCTTACTTGGTCATTGATGCTAATCATGCTATCATGAACGAAAAGCCTACTCTTGGCTCTGAAAGGAAGGGACCGAATACGAAGGGGAGGAAGAAGCAGGGGAGAAAATGGGGTAGGCAGCGTAAGAAAGAAGAGATTGAATGTCAACCAATGGAAGTGCTTGAAGGAGAAGAAGAAAATCAAGCATTAGAAGATCATACTGAAGTGGTTGACAAACAAGATCAAGGACAAAATAACGAGATGTCACAGTTTTGTGATGATGGTGAGAAGGGTGTTGGTTGCGACTTAAGGGTGCCGCCTGGTGAGGGTCTTGGGACCATAATGGAAGAAGAAAAGAAAGAACTTTTAGAGGAGGAGGAAGAGATTGGCTATCAACCAATGGAAGTGATTGAAGGAGAAGAAGAAAATCGAGCATTAGAAGATCATACCCAAGTGGTTGACAAACAAGATCAAGGACAAAATAATGAGATGTCACAGTTTTGTGATGATGGCGAGAAGGGGGTTGGTTGTGACTTAGGGGTGCTGCCTGATGAGTGTCTTGGGACCATAATGGAAGAAGAAAAGAAAGAACTTTTAGAGGAGGAGGAAGAGCAGCTGATGAAAAGACCTGGAGAGGAGTGTTTTGATACTTTTGGTTTGCAGCCACAACAGCAACCTGAGCTTCCAATTCCAGAAAATTCTTCCGAACTAAAATTGTGGGTAGATTTGAATTTTACTCCAGATCATCTGGAGCAGTAGACACAAGAGATGCCACAGCATAAGCGATTACTGCCTCAGCGAGGGGAGGCCTAAGCAGTAACAAAAGAAGCTGGAGCAACCATAGTGCCGAGGAAGGCCTAACCCTTACTCTAATATTGACCACTGATTGTAAGACTCCCAAAGCTTTCACCAACATCCATTTTCAAATCTCTCTCAAATCTCCATAGTTTTTGTTTTCAGATTTTTACCATTCCTCTTTGATCACCTTATGAACAGTCTCAGATGTTGTAAGTTACAGTAACTCTCTATTTATAAACTCAAATATTCATTATTTATTTATTTTTAAGAATAAGTTCTGTTATTCACTATATCTATACTTTTGTACATTGTGTGAGTTCAATCATTATTATTATTTTTTAATATTAGACTATACAATATATTTTTTTAATATAAAATAAAACATGCTTGAAATTGGGGAAGTTTTGCTATGTTTCTGGTAGTAGTATTAAGGTTTGAAGTTGTATATCAAGTTATTTAGATCAGGAAGGTCAGAGGAATATGTAAAACTAGTTATGTGAGGTCAAGGTCTCAATTATCGAAGTCGATTTGGTGCCGCCAAACATAGCATCAATTTTTTCTTGATAGACATCAAATGGAAAATATTAAGTTGTCCATGGGAGACAAGATGTGCCATCTATTGCTGTAGCATAGAAAAGAAAAGAAAGAAGAAAAAAAAATGTTAAAACAAGTCTTTAATTTTAGGTAAATTTATAAAATAAAATAAAAATTTAACTCTTCGGTTCTTTATGTTGAACTATTCTAAACATTAGGTTTTGTGGTGGCATCCAAGTTATTGAGACACAGATATATTTAATGTGGAGTCATACGTGCATAAATTGGTTGAAAGCCAAAGATTCTGCCATTGATCAGAGATGCTCAGTTTGGCTAGCAACCATAGTTCTTGACTGCTTTCCCTGAACAATCTGCAGTTAGCAGTTGTGGAGTCAGTTACCAGAGAGAGAGAGAGAGCTCCTAACTAAGTAAGATGAAAAATTGTTAAAGTTCTCCTGAAAAAATAAATCTTCTTTATCTATCTTTCTTACTATGGATACGCTGGGGACATGCTGTAAACACATGACGTACATGCAGACACACTGCGGACATACTTGTATGATTAAAAAGAGGATTTTGAAAATTTTCAAAATAAAAAACAAAAAATATGAGTTAAAATATAAAATATGTGGAATTCTTTGAAAAGTTTCAATAACATGTAGGTCAAAACATAAAAAATAAATAAAAATTTAGATGTAAGTTATCAAATAATTTGATCCGCATGATCATTTTCTTAGAATATTACTTTCCTCCCCAACCAAAGTTTGAACTTAGGTTGATGCAAGTAGCTAAAAATTGAAGAGAACAATGAGAGCCCCAAAAACCAACCGGCCCTCCCACCGGAATGCCCAACCTAACCACCTTAAACCTCCATTCCTACTGACCACCAAGCACTCCCACAACCTTGATCACCCCATCATTCCACACCCCTAACCTCCAGTTTCAATCCTTAAAAAGACTCTCATCATAATGAAGCCCAACATCACAGACCCATACCACCTCACCCACAAACTAGCTCAACCAAAAATCCTTTACAAGTACCATTCTCCCTCACCACAATATGCAAACCACAACCAACAAATCCATCCAAAGCTCAAAAGAAAGTTTCTTTCTCACCCACCACAAAATACAAACCATAACCAAAGTTCACTGATGACCACAACCACATTATGGTTGACATCGATCCAGATAACACCTAGTCATTGATTGATGAGATTTTCAGGCTTCGTGTTGAACTTATGGAATTCAAAAGCAACTACAGGTACAAGCACCTTCTTGAGGAGGTTGACTGGCTCAGGGGTATCATCGGATATGGGCTGAAGAATCAAGCTACGCTGGGAGCTAGAGTCAATGATCTTAGTGATCAAATCATTGCTGCTAACCATCTTCACTCTATTGTTCTCTATCCTAATGTCACTGACAATTCAACTGCAAATGCAAATGCATCTGGTTATGTGATACCCCTCGATTCTAGAGCCACGGGTGATCAAGTCCGAGCACAGAATACAAGGGATATCAAACAATTAATATTTAAACAAGCATTGGAACACAAGATGAATTAAAAATAAACAGATAAGCTGAAAGTAAAACTAAATAATAAATTCTTATTTAAAAATCCTCAAATAAATAATGATTAAAATTCCATAATAAAATCCTCCAATCTTCTGATACCAGTAATCAATTAAACTACAACTCGGGAATCCATACTGTGGACCCCTAATAATATCCTAACTGACATAACTGAATCGAAAAAATAATAAGTTACTAATGAAGAAGAGTCCTACGTAGAGTCGGAAGAATGAATGGCTGTCTCTGCTCGGCACGAACAATCTCTAAGACTGGAACTGACGAACACCTGAAAAATAATGGTGGGTCAGGCCCACATACAAGTTCTAATCTACTACATCCCAAACAGAGACCCGATACACGTACACATCCTAATTAATTCAACAATAACTAAATAGTCCATATATAGATATATACACACACTAAAGGAACCTCACTAGACTATAGAGTTGTCTCAACCTGAATAGTAGGCAACATGCAAAACGCACATATAGTGGGCATGAGTACCTAGACCTACCAGGGTACACAACTACGCTATATCTAGCTACACATCCCTGGCAATATACGCACCCTAACCACTGATCCTGAGACTCAAGCTCATATCATGGTGTATAATTATATATTTAAAATCCGTCCTATCCAACCATCAAAAATAAACTATCCAATTATTATTTCAATACTATGTCATCCAACTATTCCGTTGACCTGACACGACTAAGTAGGACTTAACACTATGGTTAATCCGTTCCCTTATTAAAAATAGGTAGGACTTAACTCGTAAGTTAATCCGTCCCTAATATGCCCCATCCCATAATGGTGCATTAATCCATAACATATCCAAATAACAGTTTCCAATCCAAGGATAATGTAAATATATATATATTTTTACATCTAATAAACCAAATAAATATGATATAAATCTTATACACGTCCTTTGCATTTATTTCAGCAAAAATATCAATTCTAATTAGCATGCATTTAATTTACATCACAAGAATTTAACATGCATCTCAATTAAATTGTACATCCCCATGTACTCATTAAATTAATTTAAATCTAAACAATTGATTAAACTAATTTAATCCAACAATATTTAATTAATTTATCCTTTCTAAAATTAATTAAATTCCATACTTAGCATGTACACTTAAAACATGCATTCCAACTCTTAATGAATCTAATTAAATTAAATAAATATTTAATTCAGATTCATCAATCAAAAATATATTAATTTAATATTATAACATTAATAAATATATATATATATATATATATATATATATATATATATATATATTTAAAAACTGTTTAATGCATAACTAATTATTATTATTATTTTCCATGAATACAAGATTTACCTAACCAAAAATTAAATTTCAATTAAAATTAACAAGCTAATGCATTATTAAAAGAAAACGAAATTTAAATTTACAAAGCAAACTCACGCGTCATTTAGAGGAGAACGAAATTTACACTAGAAAGCACACTGATGCATCATTATAAGAGAAGGAAATTTAAATTAGAAAAGTAAACTGCTGCATCATTATTTAAAGCCTTTGACTTCATATCCCTTCCTTCTCGTTCGGCGTGCTTAGTTTATGCAAAACGAATTCTATTTGTGGTAACAAACTGATTCATTCTTTTAAGCCATTATTCATGCAAACAAATTCATGTTTAAAAAAAATACTAATAATGACACCACCAACAAACCATACCCAGTTCCGTAAAGAGTTAAATTCATCACAAATTCATTACTAAAACACACGAACTGTAGCTTCCAAAGTAATCTAATCAATTTATTTAAAGAATCTAGAATTAATCGAGCATGTATAGGGTACGAATCAAAGGAGAAGAGTTAGAAAAGAACTTGCCTTTAGGGATTAGATAAAAACCCTAACCTCCTTCTTCCTTTTCTCTTCCTTCCTCTTCCTTCTTTCTCTCTCTAAAATATAGTACGTAATATATTTTCTAACCTCTTTCACAACCCTATAATTATATATTTATAGTCAAATAAAATAACACTAATCCTTTTCCCAATCCAAGCCAAACTAATAATAAAAATAAAATAAAATCTAAATACTAAAAAGGTAACTAAAATATATGGTACGTATAATCTATGTGTAATCCTTTTTATATGTAATATATAAATATATATGACTTTCCTTATATATATATATATATTTAAATTCCTAAATAAATACACATCATCACACACAATTTCATTTAAACAATTAAATCAATTAACACATTTAACAAATAATTAAATCAATTAAACAAGTAAACAATTAGCCAAGAAATCAACTAAATAATTAAATGCAATTAAAATAATTTTTTTTTTAAAAAAAATACCGAGACTACTATCCTTTTAAAATCAGGGGTATTACAGGTTATGGCTTCCATCCTGAAGGTGATCAACAGCACACAGCTGCCAACATCTTACGCCAGAGTTCTTCATCTCATCTCCACCAGTCCTGTCACATCAACCACTATGCTGCTCCGCCAGGTTTGAATTTGAATTTGAATTCAAAAGCATCCTCTTCAAATAATGTCTCAGACCACCTTTCTACTATTCAAAAAGATGTGACATCTGATGGCCTTAAGGCCAATCCCACCTACGAGGTATGTCCACATATAACTTCATCACCTATTTTGGATAATAGGACTAACATTACCCCCACAATTTGTCAACCCTCACACTGCCTCTTACTTAATCCAACACCTACTAACCCTGCTGACCCACATGGTGTTACATCCCTTAACCCTCATCTCAAACCATCACGGGTTGAGGTTACTATGAGACAATCCAGATTACCATTAGACAATCTGCAGCACACTTCCAGCTAATGGTATTATTATCCCAC